TCAGTTTCATGATGATCTTGCTTTCTATATGTATGGCTTTTGGATTCTTTTAGTTATTAACTCAGTATTGCCATGCCTTAGGCTTGTCATCATTTGGTTGATGCATAATTTATTGAAGACATACTCTTAAGTCGCTTGTTTGTTGGTGGTCATGCGATTACTTTAGTTTCTCATACCTTATTGCTTGATTTGGGAGACAGCAAGTCTGTTTGCTAGCATTTACATTAAATTTACCCTGGTTACTGATATGGTCCATATTCCATATAAATGTAGACATGTTGATCATGTCACAGATGCTCGAGCATGCATGAAGCATATGATTTAGTGTGATGAAATCTGCCAAAAGTAGCATTGACTGTGATTTAGTGTTCATGTGACATTGACATGTGAACTGGCTGATTTCTTTTGTCATAACAAGGGACTGAAGAAACTTTTTGGTACTTCAAACTCTAGTCAATTTTTTTCTTGCCTCATTTAATAGTTCCAGTCCTTTGCTATATGATTCTTGGTTACATTCCTAACATGAAATGCTCACCAAATTTCCAAATTCTATCCCTATTTGCTTTGGAAGAAGTGGCTGGGATCTTGTGGTTATCTATTTTATAATACAAAGGACCTGTAAGTTATAGTTCTCCTTTAAGCTTGTTTGCTTCTCATCTTTCCTTTGAGTCACACCAAATTGTAGTTGGAACAAGCAATCAAGACATTAATTCAAGCCTCACATGCGGCTCCAATATCATCTGCTTTGGAACATGCTCCATATGAGATGACTTGATGAATTGATTGCTTGTACTATCATTTTTTTAAGCCTTTTTGTCACAGTTGGACTGACGGGTAACCTGAGAAAGGGGAGGGTCAAGATAGTTTGACAAAATATGAAGCAATAAATTTAATTAAAATACACAAATACCAAAGAACCATAGGTAATTTTTTGCATGATTAACCCTTCATCATCTTGCAAGTATCCTGTATCATGCAATTCTCCAGGAAACTGAAGCACACTAGAAACATGATGTAGTAGTGGACTAGTCGACACCACTTTATCAGGAAATAAATTTGTGCTGTATTGACCAAACTCTGTGATTGGAAAAAGAGTTATTAACTATTGTTTATACACAATAAATGCATGCGTGGGCAGAACCTCCTATTGATATACAAGGGATTTTACTGTGTTTTGTTATGAGCAAGCTCTGAAGCTCTCATGATGCATGTATCATTTGTATTATTAGCATACTTTTGTATCACAGCTAGGCTTTCTGAATCAGGAATTTGCAAAGATCCTAATGTACATGTCAATGTTGCTCTGCAGGTCTTTGAAGGGAAGACTACAAGTAGTTAAACTGTCAAAGGAATCAGTTCATATGAGCGTCAAGAGAGAGGAATAGTCAATGGTTCAGCCTGTTCAAAAGAATGACCAAAGTACTTGTGAGTTTTGAGAACAGAAGGATACATTAAGATGCATTACACCGATGATGATCTACTAGAAGCTTTTTACTCAACTGTCTATAGGTTGATTTATGACAAATACATATTTTATATTTTTTCTAATTTTTGCAAAGGTAATTGACAAAGCTGACTTCTTTCATTTCAGTTTTATTTTAGCTTTTTTATTTCAGCTTATTGGATACTTTTTTAATGGGTGATTAAACTTCTTGTGGCTTCTTCTCTTCCTTAAAACAATTTAAACTAAATGTTGAAGTCCTCCAATTGCCAAGATCATTTTGAGGCTGCAAGAATTAGGACTGATGTTAGCTATTTCAACTTTTAAATAGCAAGCAAAGCTGTATTTTTTTTCTTTTTCCCAACTATATTGTTTAGAAAACAACGGTTTGTGGAAATGCAATGAGATTAAACTCCAGATACGTACACCCTTGCTGCTATTTTCGGTTAGGAATGAGGAGCTCATTCCACAGTGCAGGCTTCTGATACATATTTTGATGTATAATGTTGACTTAGGTACTTTTATCATACTGAGAAAGTCATCACCATGTACTTTGTTTGGTACAATGATATATTTGAATCACAGAAAGTAATGATTATCGATTGATTAGATCATTGTCTTTATATCAGAATCTGCACATTCTTTGAAAAATCTTTTGACCAATGAGCCTCCATAAAATATATTAGAAATCCGAAACGTATGCATTTGAGTTGCTAGATGGATCGACTATTATTAGTTTGGACTTGAATATTATGGATCAATGAATTTTAGTGAGTCAAATATTCCATCTGATTGAATCGAAACACATTTTCACATCAGATTGAGTCAAATAGTCCCCTTCTGACTCCTAAGTCCAAGTTTTTAGGCTGCCTTTAAATGAGATTTAAGAGGTGTTAAATGCTGTGTTATTAGTTTAATCTGCTGAGCAGCATTTAAATATAGTCAACTCAGCTTTCTGTTTGATTCTACAATAGAAGAAAAAGTTATATAGTTAACTCAGATAACCCAATTAACTCACATGGAAAATATTTAACCCAGAGAGCTATGTAGTATTAGCAGAGTGAGCAAGGAAACAAAAAAAATGAAGTGTCGATTAATCTTCTTGAGTAGGAATAATTTAACCCGGTTATCCTGTATCTAAATCCAACTTTAAATTTGGGTGGGTAAATTAGTCTAGTTCCAGGTCAAATTGAACCATAACCACGGCTTGTGCCAACAAAATGAAACCTTTTTTGTTATATGCAATATGAAGTACACTAAATTATCATACTGAGATTGTGAAGTGTTAATACACATCAAAGTAAATAGATTCAATATGAATGGTCGACCTGAACTTTGAGAAAACTTACAGATCTACCATAATGCAGGCTTCTATCTATTGCTTGTCTGTGTATATTGTCTGCAACAGAAATAGATGAATAGATGAAGGGGGTTTGGTATGGAGTTTATAGGGTAGATTAAGCTTAATGCTCCACAGATGAGCATGTAAGCACTATGTAATCATTTGGTTTATTAGCAATGAACAGGTTATGTCACAACTAAACAAACTTATCTCTACTAAAAGCACATGACTGATGAACCCAGGGGAATGAATTTAGCTAGCAGCATAGCTATCATGGTGCATAGGACGAGCACTTGTATTATTTTTCTCTGTATTCATAACAACTCTTGTTGGTCTAAATCTGCTCAAGTTGTTTAGCAAGACGAAGCTTGCTTAAGCTGACACAGAATTAGGTCATCAAGTTTCTTTATTGCTGATCTCAAGGCATGTTCCTTTCCAGAATTAAGATCATATTGAGCTGTGTTTTATGTTTGCTGTCAGGCCTTATCCTTCTTGTCTATACCTTGAGAAACACTTGATTCTGTGGGGACCTTCTGAGTTCTGACCTCAGAAGGGTTGGTCATCTGTGTACCTAATTTGCTATCATCAATGGTGATCATAGTGATGATCATGATAATCTTCTATATTTATCATGGGTTATCTTATGTTCTTGTTTGAGCTTATTAGATTGTGACAAACCGCCTCTTGTAATTTGGAAGTTTAAAGACATTCCTGAGTCCAATCAAACTGTTTCAGAGGATCCTCAGCTTCCTCTCTGTTGGACTAGAGATTGATCAAATTCTCAAAAAGTCATGAGCAAATTCAGAAACATCTGAAAAATGAGAAATTGATGTTTGTACACTATTTGTCACAATTTAAACTTGCTTGAGCAAGAGCACTACTGTATTTGAAGTTAGCAGAATTTATCACATAAACTTGTTCATATTTCATTTTTTGATGGATTATATTGAATTATAATGTTCATCTGTAATTACTCACTTAAAGTTCAGTTTATCAGCTTCCAATCGCATTAAATTTGGTAGATAAACACATGTTCTTTTTATATATGCCCTATAAGTTGTAGGTTAGGTATCTTCTGCCTGTAATCGGTTATCTGGTGGTGATTAGTGATCGATTTCCGCTAATCTGACAGCTTGGATTCTACTACCAGATGACAGTGATTAGTGTTTGTCATCTCCTGTTTTGATGCAATAAGTTTTGTTAGATTCTGCAAGGGAAGAAGTCTATAGATGAATGCTAGTAATTGTTGAGGAAGGCACATGATGTGCTTTAAGCAGAAATGTGGATATAAAGTAATGATGATTAGTTTATTCTGTTATCCTTTCATCTGTTTCATCGTTCTTTAGCCATGCTCTTAGTAAAAGGAAGCAGATGCTTTCTTCTTCTTTGTGTCTTATTTTATCTCAAGGCTTCGGTGAGAAGGCATTGCTGAAACCAATCTCATTGTGGATTAACTCATGATCTCATTCCTCACAGTGCCTTCATGGAAGCCTCCCTCCTATGTTTTCCTATTGGCTTTTTGAAGCTGATGAGCTAATGCTGTGTTGGAGAGATGCCTGCAAGAATACAAGATGGAGAGAACATGGCCATATTTACATGCACCATGTGATCCATATACTCCTTATAAATAAATTTAGAAGACAACACTGGGAATCTTTTTCCAACTTATTTCAAGAGTTGTATCCACAAAAATTCTGACATTTCTTTTAAGTTGAGATATGAAATATGAAGGAAAATAAAGGAAAGCTTAAATTGCAAGTTTTTTACAGCCTATGCAATTTCTTCCAAAGTTTGAATCTTTATCCACCTAAAATGAGAGTGATGACATACTTTTATATGCATCAACAGAGTCTTCTTTCTAATGGGTCAAAAAAAAAAAGGGAAGGGGAAGGTTTTACTACTCATCTGAATCTGATCACAAAATGACATGCTCAAAAACAATGATTGCATTTGCTATCATCTGGAAATCTATATTAGGAGATTTCTTCATCATTAAAGGCTGTGGCAGTTATCTTGTCATTATGCTACATATTTCATATATTGAACACTGTCTTGACTAACATTGTTATATATCATGATAATGTCAAAAAATACATTAGCCACCTAATCACATGAAAAGTGAGTGTTATTAAATAGAGGAAAAAGCCAACCAGATATGTCATCAAAATTATATATGACTTCAAAGAGAAGTAATTAGCTCAGTTGAGTGATGGATGGAGGACAAGCTGAGATAAAATAACTCACACTTTTGGAAAAGTACATGTGGAAGTCTTTAAATAACATAGTGGCCTATGATACTGAGGAGCTTGAATGCATGTCGACTGCCAACTCTCCATAGCCAAAGATGGAAGACCAGTTTCCGTTTTTGAGAGGCGGCATAGAATTCAATGGTGTGAAGGTACTGCCATCAGATCTCCAACACAGCGACAGGAGTTCGTCTTCCTCCTCTGTTCTCAGCTTCCTCAACCCAAGAACTCCACTGCCTTCATCATCCTCTGCATCTGCTGCTGCTGCTGCTGCTGCTTCAGAGTCGCCAAACATGGCCACCTTTCTCCTGCAGAAACAGAGACATCATGAATCCGGCATTGCAGGGTGCTTGCAGTGCTCGGTCTCTTGCAACATGATCGAGTTCTGCTCGACGCGGGGGCGGCGGCCGACGAAGCTGTTCCGAGGGGTGCGGCAGAGGCACTGGGGGAAGTGGGTGGCGGAGATAAGGATGCCGAGAAACCGGACGAGGGTGTGGCTGGGGACGTTCGATACCGCCGAGGACGCCGCCATGGCGTACGACATGGCCGCCTACAAGCTCAGGGGCGACTCTGCCTATCTCAACTTCCCCCACCTCAAGCACGACCTCCATGAGCTTGGCTCTCCTCATCTGCACTCTTCCGTTGCCTCCTTGTTGGAGGCAAAGCTCAATGCCCTCTGCAACTCCTCTTCTTCCTCCTCCTCCTCCGGTAGCTGTAAGCAGAAGAAAGCTGGTAAGGATGACAAGTCTGCGGTTGCTTCCATCACCAGGACTCCACGCAAGGAGGGGTTGCAGTCAGATCAGGGGAGAAGAGAGATCTCACAGCAGGAGTTGATCTCCCGAGGTGATGCGGAAGGAGTTCTACTGAGCAGGATGCCTTCTTTGGACATGGACATGATATGGGATTCCCTCCCTATGCCAGCAGCAGAAACTTGAATCGTCATCATCTACTTCTTCTTCTTCATTTATACTTGCTCTGTAGATCCGAATCTCTCATGTTATTTGCTTGAGATCCATATTTGATTCATATGGATTGAACAGAAAACATTTGTTTGGTATTCAACACTGTGATCCGCATCAGATTGTGTTCTCTGCAACTTTTCTGCATGTCAATTATCTGATTGCCGTGTTATGTTTACATGAACAAAAAACGAATGCATAAACAATACAGCTTGCAAAATGGAAGATTAGGTGTTCTCCTCTATTATTGTTGTCACGATCATGAGACACTATTACTCCCTCGAGGAAGTTTCCAAACCCTGTTCCGTTCGCCACTATATATGCCTTGCATCAATTGCAATAGTTGGGTTGGAATCAGTACATAAATTATTTGGTCAAAGTTTCAAACAATTGAACCATACCTAATTTGCTTCGAACAAATATTATGATTATTCTGACTGATTATGTAATTAATTGGATTATTGACTTTTGATACTTCTGATCGTATCACTTCTGATTTACTAAGGACAGAATAAAGATAATATATATAAGTGGTCGTCAATTTTACAAAACATCCGATCAATCGTTTTTGCTTTAATTGCTATTCCAATCGATATGTAACATCGCTGTCTTAATCACCCGTCATCCTCTATTCAACAATAGTTAATTTCTGATTACTCCATTTAAATTTTCAAATCAAGTTAATTAATATTTATCTTATTAATAAAAGTCATAGATTATCTTTTAGAATATCTTTCATATCCTATACCAAATCATATAAAATCATTTACACTAATGTATGTGCCACAACTACTTCCTTTGATAATTTCAGATTTTATATCATTTTTTAGATTACTTTACTAAATATACATAGTTATATCTTCTCAAACATAAATATAAAGTTACTATAGTTTTTACTCATTTTAGAAACTATAGTTTTTACTCAAGAACTTCTTTTAGTCTATCATTAAAACTATATACCATAATAGAGGAGATAAATACCAAGCTCTAATAACTTATCTATCATCATGTGATATATAATATCTCAAGTCATTACCACACACACTTCAGTTAGTTGGCTCTACAAAATGAAAATATCGGCATATAGTTGAGATTAGTCTTACCCTCCTATACTAAGCTTCTATGTCATTAACCTTTTGGTCAGCAGTCTTTCAAACTACAGTTTATCTTATTAACTACATGCTCACCCCAATCCTAAAACATCAATCACCATTTAAAAAATTATTTAATAAAATCTTAGACCTTCAGAAACTCAAAATATTTGGTTGTTTATATTATCTCTAGCTACTCTCATATGTTTCACATAAGTTTACACAACAATTCAAGCCTTACATATTCACTGGATACTCCCTTAAGCATAATGTTTTTTGGTGCTATGATCCTCAAATTTAAATGATATTTGTATCATATCAAGTTATTTTTGTTGAGTCTATCTTTCCCTTCCAAGATCTTGCTCGTTTGGTAATGCAAGCAACTACAACAATCATCCATCACTTGGTTTACAAGAGTATACCTCAAACCCCTTCAAGCGTATCTCTCACCACATCAATCAATAGTTATTCTCTAGACTTGTACTCTTTTATTACTCCAATAGCACATCATCGCCTTTACAACTTCTTCATTTATCTCTCCACCAACTGACTCTGCAATGCCCAATGAAACAAGACTCTCGACAACACATGATATCTTTGTCCTCTCCTCAGCCAAGTAACATCGAAATATATTAGCTTGATTAGGTACGTATAATTAACTCTTCACCCATTCTTAAACCTTCAATACAACCAATAATAACACCGAGCTTGAATATCACATGATAATTGTTGGTGAACAAATGTGTCGTGGCTGGTGAGTCAGTGCGGCTGGGTCCATGGGTCGATGTCGGGAGTTCTCTGTTGGCTGAGCTGGACACCGAGGTAGGTTGGGCCTTCACGACGATGTGTTGGTCAACGTTTCTTGGTCCGAGCACTGTCTGCGTCGAGCTGCATCTCTCTGTTCCCGGGATAGGTGACAGCTCGCCCTCCTTTACCGGGTGGCGATTTCCGGGTCAAGGCGCTCGTGGCTCGGGGCGACTGCTTTCCTGCAAAAAAGGCATTCATCGGGTGATTCCCGACTTTGGCCCCTCTGACGAGCAAGTCAGTTGTCTCCTTTTTTTCTCCTCCCCTGTTAAGAGCCAGGATATAGGTCTTTATACTACCGTAAGAGAGTCGATCGTACATGGATTGGCATGGTGGACACAACATGACACCAGATCCTGGCTCGGCGTGCTGGGCGTTGCCGTTCCGGGATTATCGAGACTAGGCATGTCGAACAGTTTTCTTAGGAGTACGAGTTCTGACGTGGCATGTGGCATCAGCTACGACGTGTCCCGGGGGCAAAACATGCCATATCAACAATATGCTTTAAAAATAATATATTTAAATCATGTTAATTTTTTAATCTCCATGCTATCACAAGCTTTCTACCAGAATCTATTAAATCCAAAACCATCACCCAAGTCCAAAAATCTTCACATTAGTATAAAGTCATGTGTGAGAAATATGATGACTTTCTTTATAATGTCACATAGACCCTTATACCATCTCACCTCAAATAAAATGTCATCGGATATAAGTAGATCATTCGAATTAAGCAGAACTCAAATGGATCCATTACCAGAGATAAAGCATGTCTAATATCTAAAGGGTTTTATTAATGATCAAGTGTTGATTTCATCCCTCTTAGATTAGTAGATCTCTACTCAATAATCTCTCATTAGTTTTTATTGGATCTTATCTACAAGATCCAATAATTCAATGGCTTATTAGATATCCGATAAGATATGAGCTCTAGTAGATATTTTATATCTGAACCTCTACTCGTTACAATTCCTACTATATGTGTGTGACTCTCTATGCCTAATATCGAGCTGGCCATGAGTCATACCTATCAGAACTCCTTTTGACTTAATGAATTATTTCTTATAATAATTCACTTGACTCATCGACTATGGATGTACTATGCCACTACGCCATAGTTCCTAGACGATACAGGAGAATTCAATCCATTGGACCTGTTTGTCCTCGGTTACCATGTATCTATAGTCCCTTATTCATCTAATATTTAAGATATCATATAACGGACATGGTATTATCAGGCCCATACGAAATCTACTCGAGTCTTACTCTAATCGGATTCTTATAGAAAACTCTATCTCTCTCTCAATCCGAATGATCCTAACCAAGGATTTACCTGAGCAAGAATATATAGGATATTCCTCTCATGACACTAAGAGCAGATGATCCTTTATTGACACTCAATTGTCCTCGGAAGATTGGCTACCACTCTTGATGACCGGCTATGCTAGATTTAAAACTTTCAGACCTATAAGTATGATATTAAAGAGTGGAGTACTCATATAGGACATCCTTAGTGTCTTAAGTTTAAGGACCAGATACACAATTGGGACCACAGAATTATGACAATGAGTTATCATCAATCATCTAGCATTCAGTGAGCTCATTCTCTAATGAGCACCTGCACTATATCCCTAGTATCCCTATACGAGCAACTATGAGACCAGCTACCTCATTTATATGACTGGTATATAGTATACTAATCTATCCGGTTATCTCAATATCGCTCTCGAGTAACCTATAATCGGGATTATTTAGGATTTGTATTTAAAGGCGAAGCGATTTCATTATCAATCTCATTATTCTCATCGCACAAATCCATGAATATCATAATATATATAACATGCAACATAAAGTGAGAAAATATTAATAAATAATAATAAGTAAAAAGATTATGTGGCTTGTCACATATGTCATCACTCACGTGATTGGCTTATAGGACATCTATGACTAGCATGTGGATGATATTATTATCACAGATAATAATTTCATTAAGATTAAATATTTTTTTAAATAATTGATAGATTGATTATCAATAAAAAATGTAGGAACCTTAAGCTACTTTACATCTTCGAAATTTTTTTATCTTAAAAGAAGTATATTTAAGTTGTATTATTAAAGATAAATATGCATAATACTAAAAGAGATGTCACCCCACTCTTCGTAACTGAGTCACTCAAATTTTATGATAACAGCCCTATTATAGATCCCACACAATACCATTAAGTACTTAGTTCCTTATAATTTTCATCTCTCGTATGTTCAAACATTTCATTTATAGTTAACAAATTATCATAATTTATGTATCGACCTTCTACTATACATTAGTTTATATCAAAATATGTTCTGCAATATCTTAAGGATACTTTTAATTATGGATTTCTCCTTCGTAAACACTCATCACTTCATCTTTATGTCTTCATTGATGCTAATTGGGTAAGCAACACTGATGATATAATATCTACATCAACCTACATTATCTTTCTTGGAGCAAAAATGATTAATTGAAGTTCTAAGAAATAAAATACAATTACAAGATCCACGTTAAAGCTAAATACCAAGGCATCACTATCAGAATTCAATTGAGTCACTAGACTACTATATAAATTTAGCACCATCTCCCAATCTATTTCTATAATATACTGTGATAATGTTTGTATCACCTATTTATACGTCAATTTGGTATTTCAATTACACATGACACATATAGTCATCCAATTTCATTTTGTTAGAGATCAAATTACTAGACATCAACTATATGTTTCCCCACCCATATTTCTGACTAACTAGTAGACTCTCTCACAAAACCTCTTGATATGATATTTCAATTGCATCAATCCAAAATTGATATCCTTAATAAAAATTTGAGCATGATAAAATATCATGATATAGATAAATATGAAATGATAATTTTGTTTTCCTTATACATTCTAATCCTCAATCAATCTATCGTATTCCTTGTATACATCATTTTGAGCACATAATTAAACTACGGACGCTATGCTTCGTCTTCGCGTGCTTTGATCGAGCAACATGTTCACGACCTTCTCCTTGTCGCTCCCGGTAATTCCGTAAGCGATTCTACCAGCTTCGATCTCGTGGATTCTGCGCTTTATCCTCTCGACATGCAGTCCAACCTTTACCGAGCTGTCGATTCATCGAGCACGAAAGCGTACCTCTTAATGGCGCCCACCACGCCAGCGCGCCGTCGTTTCCCGTTCAGAAGCCGGTAGGCGTTGATGGCGTCCTCTGCTTCCTCGGCTGCATCTCAGATCTCCTTCACCCATTGCTTCACCCGCTCGTCTCTCTTCTGTTTGGCGTCAGCTCGCGGCTGAACGACTGGACTGCTTCTTCAACACCTGGCCATGATGGAGCGAGTTCTTGGACCATTACCTTCAAACATGCTGCGACTTGCAGCGTAAGTCCCTGATACATTCATCCTAAGTGTTTAAAATTACTGCAATCTGCATCGAGTAGCTGTGATCGACTGTTTGTCCCTGTAATTTTCTTGCAGCCAAGATGCTGAGAGGTATGTTCGAAGGGGTCGTTTGAATTGGCCCGAGGGTGCAACCTCAAGAGAGAGCGTGAAAGCTGTGTTGAAACTTCCTCGGCTGCAGGTACTACCCTATTTAATACAGATTTATCTATCATTTAATTACCCGTTATTTGCTCATTCAAAAGATTTGGGAGGACAGTGTGTCGGTTTTTGTGCTTCATATCTCCCCTTATGGTGAAGCCAAAAATTTTTGTGATGATTCGAGCTGTCTTATGATAGCTTTTGCTTTGTAGAATCTGGTGATGCAGCACACGGATCATTCAGCTGGGGACTTCATCGATCTTTTATGATTTTGTTCTCTGTTGGGTTAATGATTCATTCTGGTAGTTCACACCTGTGATCGTCCCCTCATCCTCTACTCGTGAGCTTAACTAATGAGGTCCCCAAAAGAGTTCATGAAACTTTGGTGTCACGGTTGCTGCTTCCCTGCACGTCTCCGTGAAGTCGTCAAATCCGAATCACTTAACTCTCCAAATTTGACACATATAAAGGTCTCACAAAAGCGAAAAATCACACTCACCACCATTGCTGCAATATTATTTCTACACTTCTTCAACCACACTCACCACCCGTGCTGTGTTAGCCCTCTAAACAAGCACTGATCCCCAGAGTCAAATAGAAATCTTCAAGGAAAAGAGAAGCGAAGGTGAAGGCACAGGAGAGAGAGAGACAGAGAGAGAGAGAGAGAGAGAGAGAGACGTGGATGTGATGGTCGGGGGAGGGGGAGAGAGAAAGAAAGAGGAAATTGTCGTCTTTCTCGGGTCAAATTCGATGGCAAAGGAGCCATATCTTTGTTGACCTTTCTATGCATCAAGTCAAACCACCGTATCTTCTTTAACTTTCCATTCTTTGGATATTGCTTTTCCAAGAAAATAATAAAATTATATGATCTTTAAAAAAAATTAAAATCACATATTCAATATATATATATATTCACAAAACAAATTAATTTCGCATTAAATCCTCATCAACAAACTATCCTTTGTCTGTCGTAATAATTATTAATAATTATAGTCCCTAATGATTAATAAGCTATACTAAATTCATTGGGATAAATTCATCCTTTTATAGATTTCAAACCTATATATATATAAAATACATTTTTTAAAATTTTCTATATAAGACTAAAAATATGAAGTGGCCCCCACACCACCCCGTCACCACTCCGGTCTCCTTCCCGAGGCGGTTGCGTCCCCTTCATTCTTTGGCCCCTCTACCTATTTATACAAGAGCACGAACCGGAGAAGGAGACGAGGGAGAGAGAGAGAGAGACTACGGTGGTAATGGAAGCAGCCACAGCAACTACAAGGTTTCTCATATCAAGCCCTACTCCTAACCATAAGACGCTTCTCCCCTCCACAGCACGCCTTCGTCGGCGGCTGCGGCCCCTCGCCGTGCGCTGCCTCCAGACCCCCGACCGCACGCTCCCCTACTCCGCCGTCGCCTCCGGTCTCCCCCGCCACCGCCTCGTTCGCCTCGTGGACGAGTTCGCCTCCCTCACGGAGCCGGTCGACCGCGTCAAGCGTCTCCTCGCCTGCGCCGCTTCCCTCCCGGCCTTCCCCGAGGCCGGCCGGGTGCCGGCCAATCGCGTCATGGGCTGCACCGCTCAGGTCTGGCTCTCGGTAGCGATGGACGAACTCGGCCGCGTGCGGTTCGCGGCCGACTCCGATACGGAGATCACCAAGGGTTTCTGCGCCTGCCTTGTCTCTGTTCTCGATGGGGCGCTGCCGGAGGAGGTCTTGGAGATGACGCCGGAGGCTTTCGGCGATCTGAACGTGGTCGGGTTGCCAGTGAGGGCGCACTCGAGGGTCAACACGTGGCACAATGTGCTGATCAGCATGCAGAAGAGGACCACGGCCTTGATCGCCAAGAGAGAAGGGCGGCCGTCTGCCGATCCATTCCCGTCGTTGGTCATCGGGCCTGATGGGATTGAAGCAAAAGGAAGCTACGCAGAAGCTCAGGTGAGCTCTTTTTCACTTAAAGATTTTGAGCTTAAACTATTAGGAAAGGAAGCAAAGCCAAATTAGGATTTATACTTGAAACCAAACCCAAGTGCATGGTAAAAGCCCATAGGAGGAATTAGTCCAATCTAAGAATAAGCTGTAAACGTGAAATTGAAAACAGGTGCATTGTACAAATCCAGATGTGGAAATAGCCATATCTAGGCTTAAGCTGATACCATGAGAAAGATTATTTTGAATTGGGTTACCACGGATTCCAAAAATTTAAGTTGTTAGGAAATGACTCGTTCTATAATAGACTCTAATATTTTCCAACAATCATATAATTGAATTTGTCAAGGAAGAATGAACATTACCATAATCACGTTCATGTACTCCATTGTTCTTGTGTCGTACATTGCACATATATGATAGCATTTATTAAGGTTTTAGTCCTTTAAAACCCCAAACGATGTATGTATCCTGCAGTTCTCATCATGCTGTCATTTGCTGGATGGCGGCACATGATTTATGTCAGTAAATAAGACAATTCGGCGACCTTATTAAAAGAAGTGCTTGGGAATATCTGTTATAAGAGGATTTTCCTAAGGCTCTTTTTGAAATAGCATAAGGGGATTTACATTTTCTTTGGCATTTACTGACACATGCTTGGGGCTGTAGTAAGATGTTCTTATTCTCTCCTTATTTGCATGTTCTTGATCTTTGATTGTATTTGTTTGATTGTCATTGTTTTTACTCCTCTAGACACCTGTAATGCTATTGTTGTACTTTATTCTGCTATAGCCTGAACTACTGTGGTCTTGAACTCTATTTGTTCTGTCCACAATTATCAATCCATCAATTACAGACATAGTACCTAATATTAGTTCAGTGCACAAACCCTCTGGCAGACAGAGAACTTTGTGTTTGTATATGCATACGTTGTGTCAAACCATGCCGACAAATTGTGGATGTGCCACAATAGCGAAGATGAATATTTCGTTATAAACAGATGTACGTATACTTCATCTTATGTTGGTGTCCTGCAGAAAGAAGAATTCATTGCTTTACTCTTCTGTTTGACATGAACGGATGTTTTGACAAGTTCTCATCAGCCCATTATAGTTTAATTGCAGGCAATGTTTTTATCTCCTGATGAGTCAAAAATTAAAGAACTGGTGAGTGTCCTACGAAAACAGAAAATCGGTGTCGTTGCACATTTTTACATGGATCCAGAGGTCCAGGGCATATTGACTGCTGCACAGAAGTTGTGGCCTCACATCCACATATCTGATTCCTTGGTAATGGCAGATAGGGCTGTTAAAATGGCAGAAGCTGGATGCAAATATATTACAGTACTCGGTGTGGACTTCATGTCTGAAAATGTTCGGGCAATACTTGATCAGGCTGATTTTAAGAAGGTATGTGGTTTTCATTTATTTTTATCAATGAACATTTTGCGTACTCATTCATCTTGTTCTGTCTTCCCTTAAGATATTTACAAAAGTACAAGTTACAAGTTCATAGTTTTTCATTAACACTATATATACACAATCAACTGTTGGAACTAAGGTTTTGCTCCGAAGAACCCATCATTATAGTCAGATTATTCGCTTTAAGGTTTTGAACATTGATAGTGGTTGATCAAGTCTTCACAAATTAAGATTATAATTATTTCCATTGACTTGGAAAACTTTTATGGTGTTGTTAACACTCACCAAGTATAAGAATCAATATTCTACATTTCGAGTACCAGATCCATGCTGACCCATAACTGGACCAGATCCATGTACTGGCACATGGTACACTAACACACACTGCTACAAGAGTACTGCATGTGGACAGGCTGCCCAAAATTGGACAGTTCATATACCAGTCAATGGGTGGATCGATTTGTCAATTCCTGATAAGAGAAATGCAAATTTGGTTTAGAACCTAAAGTGTAATCAAACCTATAATGAACTTAGATGGGCTGTGACAAGACCTAGTTGACGTTGTTTTGCAATTGCTCCATGGTGTCATGCCATCTTTCCTTGGAGCCTATTACTTAATTGGTGTCAGACAACTTGGAAATTGTCTCTTCAGAGCTGTTATCTTATATGTTCCTTTATTGGATTGTTGTTTGGTCATGATCCAGCAGATGTGTTGGTATTTACTATTTTGCCCAAGAGTTGCCTATGGACAAGAACTTTGCCAGTTCTTGCATGGATCAGTACTAGTCTGCCACTCAGATAAAAGAGTTTCTGCAAACCTTTGGCACTGCAAGATAACTATAGCAGTACCCAGTCAGACAGCTACGATATGCACTTGGTAGTTTGGCATGTCCTTAGTATGACAGTTCAGGATTTTATCTTGTCGCTGAGATACTAAATAGTTGTTTGCTGGCAGACTCAGATCTATGGCTTCTTAATTTTAAAAGAAATATACTCATATATTCTAAAGGTTCTAATGTTCTCTTTATAAAATCTATGCTTTGGTTTTATTCTGGCACAGTGGAAGATATCTTCAGGTCTTTGAACTTTTCAAATTTTGTCTTGCTATGATGTTTGTCAATTATTATATACATTTAACAAAAAATTCTTCCATTTTAATTTCGCAGAGATGTCTCCATCATCATCTTATACTGCTCTGTGAATCTCCTACAACAGTGCAGTTCAGATGCTGCAATATGAATACAATTAAGTTTACATGACAATCACATATTGAGTCTCAGCAACCTCTTGTACTCTGCCTACAGTCTTGAAAAGGAAAATCAAATGCATTCTTTTTATAATTATTTTCATTATGGATGTTAGACTGTTAAACTTGTTTGAGTTTAGATTTTATCCTAACTCATTTTGAGATAATAATAATTAACAATGATCACGTTTGTTTTTAGAAACAAGCTTGAATGCATCTTGAAGTACATTTAACTGGTTTATCTTGCACAGTGGTATCTTTTGGAAGACTCTTAACCACAATAGGTTTCATGCAGGTTGGTGTGTACAGAATGTCCAATGAACTAATTGGTTGCTCTTTGGCGGATGCAGCAGCGAGTTCGACATATATGCAGTTTTTGGAGGCAGCTTCAAATTCACCACCTTCATTGCATGTGATCTACATAAATACTTCTTTGGAGACTAAGGCCTATGGACATGAACTAGTGCCTACAATCACTTGTACTTCATCTAATGTTGTGCAGACGATTTTTCAGGTTGGCAATGCTCGTAAACTCTTTGCTCCCCTTTAGATTTTGCATTTCATATCTGGTAGTTGGCATATTTTAGTGAAGCACATTGCGTCAATTTGGATTACTAGTCTCATGTATTCATAATTTGATTTTTCTCTAATAAAATATTTGCTAGGCATTTGCTCAAGTACCGGATTTAAATGTTTGGTATGGTCCTGATTCCTACATGGGTGCAAATATTGTGGAGTTGTTTCACCAAATGACTGACATGACAGATGAAGAAATATCAGGAATACATCCAGATCATAATAGGAACTCAATAAGATCGTTACTGAAGAGGCTGCACTTCTACCAGGTTTGTGGACCGTTGCACTGTTCTTCCTTTCTTTAATCAGCATTTATTACACCGAAATCCTACTTCGATTTTTGGCTGTCATTCGCAATATTTTTAGTTATAAGGTTTTATGCATGTTCAGTTGTCAAAGTTCATGCATGTTCTCTTGAGTTCCAATTCCCAAAGAAAACGGGTTAAATCAATGTGACTTCCTGCATTTAAACAAATTACTTTGACCAACTTTTTATTGTAGCTTAATGTAATTATGTACTACTGCACACTTTTGGTATTTGCTTGGTTATATCATGGAAAGAAAGCTAATAGCACAGACATGTCTGAGGTGCTTTTTGATGCATTATCCTGAAGATATTTTACTTTGAGTGCTTCAAATTATTGATAAGACATGCTAGAATGTGCCTTCAATTGCTTGTTGGAAAGGAGACATCAGTTGTGCTACAAATGAATTCTTTTTGTCAATTTAACGCCCTGTATTTCTCATGGAGTTGAAGTTTTATCCACATTAGATTTTGAGTTATCATAACGAACGTGGGTTGACATGGGGCAGGGACAATTCATAGTGTAGGAATTTTAAAAGGCTTCAAATCTAGCAATATATTAGACAGACCATGGTTTATATGGAAATTGTGCAGTAATTTAGTTATTACTGACACTCGTGTTTAAATAAAAATTATTGCAAATGCTTTCTCTAATAGATCTGGTAATTCCAGTGTGTTCGTCTGTTGCCTTTGCTGATCATGAAACTCGTACAACTTTAACATACAGGATGGTAACTGCATTGTGCACGATATGTTTGGTCATGAAGTAGTGGAGAGAATAAAAGAGCTGTACTGTGATGCATTCTTAACAGCTCATTTTGAAGTTCCGGGTGAAATGTTTTCTTTGGCAATGGAGGCAAAGAGGAGAGGAATGGGAGTTGTAGGCTCCACCCAAAATATTTTGGATTTCATTAAAAACCGGGTACAGGAAGCTTTGGACAGGGACATCGACGATCACCTACAGTTTGTGTTAGGAACCGAATCAGGAATGTTGACTTCCATAGTTGCTGCAGTTCGTAGATTACTGGGTTCAAGGGAATCAAGATGTAAAATTAAAGTTGAGATTGTATTTCCAGTCTCATCGGATTCAGTATCAAGGACATCAGTGAATGGGTCTCAGGGTCTAAATTATGCTATACCAAGTGATATCACAGAACTTGCTGTTGTTCCCGGTGTGGCAAACGGTGAAGGGTGCTCTGTTCATGGAGGTTGTGCTTCCTGTCCATATATGAAGGTTAGTGCCTCTTTCTATGTATCTAATAATTGATGATTCTACAGTAATCCTTAGACCTCGGTGTGAAATCTTAGATATGTTATCAGAACATAAAGACAATCCGATTGAGCTTCATGCAAGGAGGCATCTGCCCATCAAAATCGTGCATTGTCACGAAAATGTATAGACTGCTCCGACCTGCTCTAAAATCTTCATATGTTGAGTGCAGATGAACTCACTAAACTCGTTGTTGAGAGTATGCCAGCAACTTCCCGACAAAGACGGCACTCTTCATGCCTATGAAGCTAACAGGTTTAATGCAGTAACACCTGGTGGAAAACCGGTTGCCGATATTGGATGTGAGCCAATTCTACACATGAGGCACTTTCAGGTTAGTTATTGGCTGCATCTATATCTCATTCTAACTTTAGAGTTAGAGGTTTGTCAAGAATTTGTCGGTATTACCTTCTCCTCCTTTTTTTTTTTTCTTTTGCTGATGTATCATTACTCTTCAACTTGATGGCAGTCAATCGGAGATAATTTCTCTTTTTTTTGTTCATCCAGGCAACAGGAAAATTACCTGACAAGCTCATCCATCATATCCTCCATAGATGAATACCAACGGCAAGTTTTAAGAAGGATATGTAATCCATCCACAGTTCACTGCTCAATGCAGGTGTGCTCGATATGTTTGACTCGGTTATGCCAATTTGATAGTAATTATTTATATACTTGGGTGATTTGTTGTTGGGTCATGACGGTGCATCTCCTTCGTCATAGAACTTGCTATGTATTAGTCTCTCTAAATTTAGTCATTTTGCTTATATCGGGCATTGTTCATTGAAAAATGAAATGACAGCTTTAATTATTCGCCAAAGCTAGAAATAATTTTCAGAATTTGAACTCCAAGATGTTTTAAGACAGATTAATAAATAGTATGATAGATTACATCTCATGTAAACCTTTTTTTTGTTTTTCCAAATTTAGTCCATTTTTAAATTGGAAGATATGACGAGGTTTATAGGACCCCAAAAACACAAAAAAAAACAAAAAGAGGTTGTGGATATAAATAATCCCGTCGTCGTCAATTGCGTTATGGGTGTAAGAGGCTCTGCTACTTCGCCCGCGTTCATTCTCCTCATAGTTTGCCCTTACCGGCCAAACCCATGTCCGTGGGCTAAGAAAGCAGGTGCTTATCTTCGTGGCGAGGATAAGAACTATTAATATGTTTAAAAAGACAATAGTGTTTTGAGAAATATTGTAGCTGAGGGCTTAGATCAATTAACCAGACTTAGTGTTTTGAAAAATATTAATACTAGGGACTTAATAATATTAATACCAAAAAGGACAAGAGTTGCTATTAAGTGGCTTGTCAAGTATTTTAGAAATATGATAAAAAGGGCATCGATTGAAATTTTTGATGAAAAACAGAAAACCCCAAAAAGAGATAATTTTTCTCTCATACAATTAAAAAAGAATGTCACATTGCTAAATATTTAAAGTGGTAATATGAAACATATTGGTTAAACTCTTGGATTGAATCAGTAAGAAATCTCATAATAATATCTACTCAAACCCAATCATTTGATTCAAAAACTAACTTTTATTATCGACCGACCGACGGAAAAACTAACCGGAAAAGTCATCAAGTTTTATTTGCCAAGAGAATATGTGATTTTGCTCCAAAACTTAGTAAATTATAAATGAAGGGTTATTCTTGAAAACCAATCATCTGTTTGTTAAAATGCTCAATAAAGAATTTGCACATCCATTTATAGATACAAGTAGATCCAAGTTGAAGTTTCAGCCCAGAATTTAATGGTCTAATGTCTGCTGAGATTTCCATGATTACTACCAAGGTTCGTAATACCGTACCGTACCGGAGTTTCGATCTGGGCTCGGTAGTACGGTATACCGCTCGGTACACCCAGGTGTACCGAGCGATATATTCAGGTGTACCGAGCACTGTAGCAGTACTAAAAGTCTGTCGGACCGGTACGTATGATCCGCGTACCAAAAGTCTGTCGGACCGGTATGCACCGCCCGTACCGGGCGGTACGGATCGGTACTGCAAACCATGATTACTACACATCTCATTTGTTTTCCTTGATGTTTGCTCACAAAGTGTGACTATGAACAATGTAATGCAGAGCAGGATATCCTACATTATGAGATGCAAGAAACAAAGTCTGGTCAATCTTCTCATTTAGAATACTTGCCTGACTGACGCGCATCTCAGGCAGCTTACATTTCAAGAAAAAAGGGCAAAAAAAAAATACCAGATACCTAATCAAGAAAACTACCATGGTCGCAGGAGATGAAAGGGAAGAAAAATATCATAGACTGACTACATTTACATCACGACAAACTAACAAAGTTTTATCGATCTAGGAATATAGTTCGCAAGGAGTTGAGTGCCAATTATGTGATATCTGTTTTGAACACCTACTTATTGCTTATCAGTTGATGACTCCGTAAATTTCCTAGATTCAGTATCCCGAGCAAAAATATAAGGATCTTGCTCGCTTTCTGATTTGGCATCGACTCTCCTTCGTAGCTCGAAATCATCTTTTTCGGTTGATGGTTCCGCCAAGCTAGTAGTCCCACAAGTGGTTGTAACACCGAATACCGGAGATGCCTCCATTTCAAAATCCTCGTCTGATACTTTTCCCTCAGAACCACTGCTCTCGGAGCTGTAATCATTCTCATCATTTATAGTTGAATCACCCCCAACAGTCTCAAATTTTGAATCGGTATCTTCCGCCATCTCTGGTTCAGCTGGACGCTGTTGGATTGGCACTGCATTACTGATAACATGACCTGCCTTTAATTTTTCCATGTAAACTGCCATTTCACTTTTATACCTCTCCTTGTCCTTCAAACCTCTATCCTGATACACCTGAAATTTTAAATTATAAAAAAAAATTGAACAGAAGTAAACTTGTCAGAATCTTCATTTAGAATTGGAAGAAAAAAGTTTGAGTAAATTGTTGCTGGTACTCACGGCTTTCTCAGTCTCTGTAAGTTTGTTCCACGATTCACCAATTATTTTGCTAATTTCTCTGTCTTTTCCTGGATAAAGTGGCTTAAGCCTAGCGTGCTGCTCAGCAAAGAAGAAATTATATCCGCTCCTGTTTGGTTTTGGATGACTAGGGTCTCTTTTACTGAGCTTCTTCCTACGGCGACGATGGCGAACACTTCTGAAGTTGCTATTATCAGCAAAATCACTGAACCGTGTTAATTGCTCAGAAGTCTGTTGAGGAATGTGATAGAGAACCCCTCTGAGTTTTGCTGATCCAACAGTAACAGTCACAAAATATCCATGCTCAAATTTTCCATCAATTACTCCAACGACTTGAGGATATTGGGATGAGGCCAGACCTAGAGATAGGGTAGTAACTGATTAGTAATCTTGGCGGAAGTGCTGGTATCTGTCATGGAGTTCAGACAAAACATCTATGACGACAATGACAAGAGTGACAATTAGCAAAAGATAATACTCTGTCAACACCACGTTGATACATGAGAAAAACTGTTTCACTAAATAGTAACTCATTGTGCATGTCAGCCTCAATCTTGCATTGCTTCATTAAGCACTCAACAGTCAGAATATTTCTCAAATTTGACAATAGAAATTATTTCACATCGTGGTTCAAGGCAACTGAACAACCTCATGGATATACAACAAAGATTGTTATCGAAAAAGTGTATGTGATATCACTAAATTACTATAATGCAAACTCACCATTGTTTCTCATCCGTTTTCGGGAAGAAGCCTGAGTTTCAGAAAATGGTAAGACATGCTCGACCAATCTCTCTGACGAACCCGAAGTGGCTGAGGCTATCTTTGCAGGTGCTGCAAAACAATGTAAGGAACAATAAGGCTCAGGGAAAAAGGAAGGGAGAGGGGGGGAGACTGCATGTGCAAACCAGCTGGAGAGTTCCATCCTTGAGACCGAAAGAAATATATCTGCTCATAATGACGCAACAAGGACATGTAGTATTTGCGAAGCACAAATGATGCATTTGTGGCCGTAGAGGGGAAAGCAAAAGCAGCAGTCACTTCTCTCCATCTACGATCTGCAATTACCTGTCATCAAGTAAAAGATATAAATAGTTGCTGTGATTTGAGAAGGTGCTGGCTAGAAATATCTTTTGACAGAGAAAAACGGGATGACAACCTTTATGTGTGCACATGTAACAATACAAGTTACTAGATTATTACCTTATACCAAGTGGATCTCACCACCATGTTTCAAATGCTTAAAACAAATAATCAGTGAGAGGTCATCGTGTACATATAGGGAGACTCATCATGTTATGTTCCAATCTGGGACTGTTAGGGTATCAGGATTTTCTTCAATTGAATCCTTGAGGTCTTTGTCACTTGTCAGGAAATAAGCGAACATGTTAAACAAAGCTTGGTGACAAGATATGCGACTTTTAAGTCAACCTACCAACTTAGACAAGTCAACCTAATCTGCTTCAGTATGATGTCGACAACTGTTTGCTCCAATAGGATTTTACTTCTAGGTAGAACCAGATACCTGATGTCATATAAACATGATTTTCTAGATATGTTAAACAAGATATAAAATGTAATCCTACACGTTAAAATTCATAACACCCTTAACTCTTTAAGAACACTGAAATGCAACTTGGTATCAGATACTTAAGTTGAATACACAAATTATAGAAATGTCCACAGCTTTATGCTAAAATACAATGTCATGTAGTTCCTCAGCAATAATGTATATTAAATAATGAAAGCATAGATAAATATTTGACAGACATGATTGCAGTTATGATCCTTGCTATTGAAATTCTGGAACTCGTAATAAAATTCTATGCAAGGTTTAAAATTTCCATCTGATAACAGTTTGGACAGTTTGTCAAACTTCTCGGTCACCTACATACCAGGTGATACACCAAACTGTATTGCTTGGTATCACTGAAAAGTAATAAATAAAATCAACCAATACCAATTTACATGGTATAATATTGATTATACCACCTGTGACTTACTGATTTGATCAGTATTTGAAACCTTGATTTCATGAATAAAGAATGTTATGCATACCGGTAATAAAAATATATAGCAGCAAAAATATAACTTAAAATTCCATATAAAATATCATTTTCAGTTTTGACCCATTACCTTTTCGATTCCACCTCGAGATGTCACCTCAACAAAAAGTCGGTGCAGGTCGAGATCCTTGCCTCCTATAATTGGTACCCTAGGAAGGAACACAATTCAAAAAATTAGAGACAGAGTGATAAATATAGAATGAGAATTTATATCGCCAAAAACTGAAACTAGATTAACTTTTCTAATTATACAGTGAATAGTTTCCAAGATATTACATCTATGGAGTCTGTAAGCTACATTTCTAAATCCCTATACCAACTATAATACCAATCTATTTGTTCAAGTTTTATCTGTATAATTCTTTGATCATTTCGATTATTTTATTATTATCATTTCACCTAAACTATGAGGTTCAGGGTAAGTTATTCAAGCATTTGAAGGGATTTCTAGATTGGGCAAATTTGGGTGAAAAACCTATCTATCTCGAGAAGATGGTTAGGAGACCAAAAAAATTATAAGACGAATAAAGGAAGAGCAATTCTGATAGGGTACAAGTACGATGGTATATATGTGGGGGTTTCATCTCCATTATAATCTTCACCATTCCAAAATCCAAATTTCCATGGCTAACCTAAATAGGCAGCAGTCTCATGTGCTGGTGTTCCATAATGTAGCAAATGATAAGCTAAAATTGATAAATTAGGAAATTAGTATGCAAATGGAAAAGGATTGGGACTAAAACAAAAAACATCCTTCTTTTAAACATGCGGAAACTACAGCTATTATACGTTAGACATCTTCAGTTGCATGCAAATAATAAAAGTTCCTTTAATACAAAACCAGAGATAACCTTGCAAGGTCAGTCATAAGGAAATTTGCTTCTAACTTAAAAAGCATTGTCTATCAGATTCCATAATAGGACAAAAAGCATAAATTGAAAAGAAGTGAATCCTAAATATAATGCAGTGTATCATTTCCCTCGCATCGAGAATATGATAGAACATACAATTAGAACTAAATGATTCCCTAATTTCTTTAACAATATATCTCAGATTCCTATCTCTGGTGTATACTATCTTTATTCACAATGTGATTTCTTACTTTTTTGTACTCAAGCATAAATCTTCCTTGCTTGTCAGGCATTCTGAACTGCTGCAAGTCCCAAGCAACACTAAGATATCTATAGATTTTGAAGGAATGTAATTAATGAGGACAGGACAACTTCATATCAGGATTTGCATCACCTTCCTTGACGAAGAGCCAAATATATCAAAAAAATATGCCTTTTGAAGAAAATAAGAGAAAGGCTCAAACCTACCCATGTTAAAGATTTTAGATCTTCTCCTATTTGCACCTGTCAACTTCCATCCCAACCAACTAATAGAAGGAATTCATTTAATATAAGAAGACAGATCAACTGGAGACAACCTCAAGCATACCCAGGCAGTATCTTGCAATAAAAACATTACTTTTCGTGATGTCTAAGTGCTACCCTTTCTTTTTCAGGCATTTGATACATCACAACATATATGATACGACTTAAGCCAGGTCCATCTTTACAGATGAATGTCATGTATCTACATGAATCTTACAGAAAGACGAGGATTGGCTCAAAGGATACATCGATGTCTAGTAGACTGAAAGAAAGGGTTGCAGAAAAACCATAAGATTGTGTCCTACCTCAAAGGCCTCTGTAAGAAACTTTTCTTTCAACCATACCATCCATATCCATCCTTGAGAAATATTTAACCCTTAATCGACTGAATAAGATCGACAAAACCAGATACCTTCCTCGTGAAGGAAACATGACCAGCAGAAACGTCGACATAAAAGTCTCCGATTTAAACAATAGAACCCAACCCCCCACCCCAACAAAAGAAAAACAACAACAAAAACAATAACTTTACCTCTAACATAGATCAGATTTACACAGAAGTAGAAAAAACGGATATAGGATGAACAAGAACTATTCAATATAGAAAACGAAAACGTTCCTACAGAAGAAGAATCAGAGAGTCAAGAAACAAACTAGTTCTGGGATGAAAAAAAAGTGAAAGTGGTTCTCACATGAACTTAGTCCCCATTGTGGAGTGCAACTTCTCGAGCGTTTCCCTAAACAACTTGGGATCAGCAATTACATCTTCGTAATCCGCCAGGGGCTTAGGATAGGGATGATACTCCGCAGGAGAGGTGGCGCCCTCTTCCCCGACATGCTGAGGATGTGAATTTGTCAGCACCACATGCTTGCCCTTATCAGAACCCACTCCCTCCTCCACCCCTTTCCAACCCTTATCACTAACTTCACTCCCCTTCTCAATCATCTTCGTTCCCCCCACCACCACCGCCACCAGCTTTTATCTGCAATCAAACCGAAATAACTGCCACAACATTAAAAATACACCAATAAACAACCCTAGATCGTCGATTACTTTCATAACAATCAACTATTTTATGCCTAAAATACCATTCACATCTCCAAATTAAACGACATGAGATGTTGCACTAATGGGTTCCATAATTAATGGATAAATGAATGAAGCCAAGGAAAACTAGGGCACCAACATTTCCGTTTTATCTTCCCGACTGCAGCTGTGGTCAAGATGGTAACAAGGTACATGCATACATACCAGGAACCAAAGCAGGAGGAGAAGGAGGAGGATATGTACTACATATATATTATCTATAAATACATCTATATATATAAATATATATATATGTATGTGAGGGTATATATATATTTATATATAGATATATATAGTGAAAATGAAATGATAAGAAGAACAAACCATATGGATTGTACCACCAGACCGAGGAATATTTTGCAAGGGGGAGATGGAGAGATGTGAGGGAAGATGCTGGGAATACATCAAATATTTTTGTCCTGTGTTTTTTTGTTGGTCGGTTGGTTCACAAAGAGAAGGAGAAAAAGGATGATAATGTGAGGCTGGCAGGGGATTAGGGAAGGAACTAACGTGTCACGTTTCGGCATCGGAGATAACGGCAAAACTCTCCCCTCTGTCACTACCGTTTCCCCTGCGTTCTCACCTTCCTCTCATTGGCTCAAGCGATGGACCCCACCGGTCGGGTGTCCCGGGGATATCGAAACGCTTTCTTGCGCAGAGAAACGCCCGTGATTCTGATTTCTCGCGCAGAGATAAAATGCGACTTGACGGACGGGACCCACGTGCGGGGCCCGGTGCTGATCCAATAGCGAGGCGGGTGAGACGAGATATTTACATTAGGCTTTTTTAGTCACGGGATTGGGTCGGGTTGGCGCCCGTGAGGATCCGTGAAGCGGCAGCGACGACGAACGGAACGGATCCCGTGACCTGACGGCCCTGCTCCGTCGCCGTTACGTGTAACGGCAGATTTGGGTGGGTGGACCGGGTCATGGAATCAACCACCCCCACTAAAAATCTTGAGGAGGAGATGACATGACATGATGGCGCTCACCGTCGGCATGGTCGTATGACTCCCACTATGAATTCGGAGCCTCCTCGCTCCTTCCATATGTTTGAATTCGAATATGGATTTATATTTGGGTGGGTTGAATTTTACGGATATTTTATTTGTCAATGATGATAATAATAATGACGGATTGGATTTATTTTTCAGATACATATAATAACATTGGTATTCACCGAATGTTCGACTACAATCCTAAATAACGGTGAATTGTTCTTCTCACAAAGGGATTCATCCTCAGGATTATTTAGGAAGGCTAAGCAAGAAAGGAATGGAAGGCATTTTAATATCTCAACTAATATTAATATTTTCCATATATCATTTATGTTAATTTATAAAACCTACCTTAATCATATTTAGATGACTGTTTGAGTTAAAGAAGTAAATAAGAACTAAAATATCCTTAATATTTATGTCATGAGCCTTCTAAGGGTATTAATGTAAATTGGAATTTGAACTAATAGTTATTTTATTATAGACACTTAAGATTTACTATATATATATATATATCCATCCAAAAGATCAGTGTTACTGCTGATCCAAAGGATCAAAGTTATCAGATTATGATGAGCTCAATATTCTAATCTTCAGTGTTAATCTTCATATCAATCCATCACCAGCATTTGTCATTTGTAGGAAATCAAAAATCTCTTTAGCCCACAGAAATCCAAAATTAAAGGAAAAAGGAGCTCTTATAATGATGAAGTTATCCATCAAACCAACATGATAAACAAAGCTACTGCAAGCAACCATGGAAGACTCAACAAGGATGGCAGACAGACCTGAGAACCACAAACAACACACACACCCCAAATCCATGGACCTAAAACACTGATATATCATAGTTCTTGCTGCTGCTGCACCATATATGCTGACATCAGAAACCTAAGCCACGCATTCTTCTTCTCAGGCCACAGGCTTCTTCTCCTCTTCTGCCTTCTCTGCCTCGACCACCTCGACGTAGGCCGGTGCATCCTCCTCCACCGCATCGGCTTCAGCTACCTGTTCACCTTCTTCAGTGGGCTTAAACGCAGTCTCTTCGGCTTCCTTCTCCTCCGGCTCTGCTGCTGCTTCAGTTGCTACTGCGGGGTCAGCCTCAGGCTCTTCTACGACCTGTTCGACGGCTGCCGCAGGTGCAGGATCAGTTTCCGCGGGGGCGTCTTTGGGATCTTCTACAGTGGGCTTTGCGGTGGCGTCTTCGGACTCTACGACGGCCACTTCGAACGGTGGCGCAGGAACAGATGCAGCTTCGACAGGGGCAACCGGTGCATCTGTTGGAACCTCAACCACCGGTGCTGATACGACCTGCACACAGCGCCATTGTTAGGAGACATTCAGAGATTCGTAGAGACAGACTGGGGAAGATGCGATGGGCTACGAACACATTGGTGGCTCACCTCAACGGAAGCCATGGGAAGGTGGAGAGGAAGACCTAACAAAGATGCGAATGATGTGTTGAAGTGGATGGGAAAGCTTGTTGGGGATGTGAGGGGTACTTATAATACGAGGGACTCCATGGCAGTGAGAATCTTTACAGACCTCCGGCCGTGGCGCCATTGGCCGGAACAGTCCACCGGTTTCCTATATTGCTGCTGCGTTCATGCGTGCAGCTTTTCGTTTGTTTGTGTCTTCTTCATGCAGGGTTTGCGCTGAGGTGGATTGATATGCGTACTCCCATCTTTTTTTATATGGGATATGCTCTGTGAGCAATCTAACAAAAGATAGTATCCTGAAAAGGGGTTCTGAGTGAGGAATTGGAGGGTGCTAATAACATCCGAGACGCGCAAGAGCAACGGAAGGTCGAGGGAAGTGGCAGAGGCTGCCACCCGCCAATTGACCGTCGAAATGACCCTCACGCCTTCCATCACCGTCGCAGCGGCCACGCGGGCCCATCGGCGACGTGGCGATGACGTATACTGGAGTGAGAGACAGCTCAGACTGGGCCTTCCTTTTGTCACGTGTCCTGCGAGGCCGACGGTGGCCCCGCCGGCCGTCGTCTGCTTCGACGCACAGGGCCGGTTTGTACGCATGCAGAGAGGGAGATAGAGAGAGAGAGAGAGAGAGCTAAGCGAGACAGTTTCAATGGGCGAAGACGCAGAGACACCTGACGAGGATGAAGGCGAAAGCAAACGGCAGTACTGATCGATGGAAGCAACAAATTGCAGTGCACTCAGCGTGAAAGAATTATGGCCTCAACTCTTTTTTGTGCTACCTCTCATGAAGGATGCAGATTAGTCATATCCTCATTCTCATTCTCTGTTAGGTTCATTAAAAGAAAAAAAATAATCGAAGGCTTAATCCTAATTTTCCACATCCATGATATGATGATGCTGTTCTTCAACACCACATCATTATAATTAATTATTCAAACTGAAACCTGTAATTCAAATTCTCATCATCAACCCAACCACAATGTGGGGGTAAATTAAAACAACAAAAAACTTTAATTTATTCTTTTCTCTTTTTTTTTTATCATCTCGTTTTGTTTTATTTTCATAAAATATCTATCTTTTCTAATCATAATCTTTATCATTTTATCCATGTCTTCTTATATCTTAATGGTGATGACAAACAAGAGCACAAGCACAAAGTTAGAGTTGAGAGCAGGAGGCGAAAGGTAATATCATCTTCTAAAAAATATATTTTATAAAAATTAAGCCAAAAAAAAAAGTGAATATATAGATTTTTATAGGAATTTAGTTTATTGTTTTACTGAGTTATGCCTACACAACATCATTTCATAGACATCAAAGAAGAGCGCCTTCTGAGTCATTGTCTCAGTTACAGTTGAGGAAGGGAAGAATGAGTACGAGAGGACTGACGCAGCTTATGCATGGCTCACTTCAACCACACATTAAATGAATTCGACAGCCTCTGAAACACCGGATGGATGCGGAGTCAATGCTGGCAGAGTGGGTTATGCAACAAAAGGATCGATAGAGCTCTGTTGTATACAGTGCAGTCCTGCACTGCCATTAATATATGCTTCAATGCACCGATACAAAGCAATATGTAAGTCTGAAGAAGAGCGATTCAATGCACCGACGTCATTGCGTGCATTAATCACGGTCGACCTCATCTGCTGCGTGACGCCGCCTGCAATCTACCATTAGATTCGGCTGTCGGTGACCGAGGAGATACAGGTAGATGGAGGGGGGGGGGGGAATTGCGAGAAGAAAGCCGTTTGACGTGAAGCAACGTAACGTAATGTACGTGCATGGGGACGGGTGCTGATCCGACGGTCAGCATGTCTTTGATAGCGACGCCGGAGAGAACGGGAGATGGAGAGTAGCGAAGGGGGACATGTTCCTACCGCTGCCGCGACTCTTCTTTCTTGTGGGGTCTGTGCTTGTGGTCAAACAGCAGCTAATGCTTCGAGCACTGTGATATCGTGACATCGATTTAGTTGTTGGATTCAGATTCCTTAATAAGCATGAAATTTAAAGAATGATGATGATGGTAGAGCTTAATACGAGAATGAGTAGTTTACTAATAGTCCAAGTTCTTAGATTATTAGTGATCTAATTAGGATCTTGATCTTAGTATTAGAATAGATTATGCGTTTGAATCTTGTTTGCTTTGGTACAGTGCTCAATCCAACTTGCTTCTTATATAATTGGATTATTATATACTTGGAGTATGCAAGACATTTGGTTATTTGGAACAGTAAGCATTTTATATTGTACAAAAGCGAAATGAAATTTTATTGAAAATTTTCCTAATTCTAGTGGAGATATGTGAGAGTAAGATATAATTAATATACACTAAACATCTTAATCCTTTTGGGGTCTAATGATGATATAATGATGATGATGATGATGATATAATATTCATCATTGACATAAAACACATTCATAATCACAGGAGCTGCAAATACAGATCGAATAGTAAGAGAAAGGCACGCATATGATTGCCAGTCCATCAAACCATCAAAATGTTTGGAGGAGCAATTAATGAACCTTGTGAAGTTGATTGGCCCAGTTGACAATATATGCTCTCATCATCTCCTAATCAAAGTTTATGCCACTGCCAAAACTGTCATGTCTGCGCTAAACCCACTGCAACTGGAGCTACAAAAGCAGTGGCTAGAAGATACTAAGGACCAATAAATGAACCTTGTGAGGTGATTGCCTCGGTGACAAGATAAACTCCCATCATCTCCTAATCAAAGTCCTTGCAGTGGCAAGACCGTCATTGTGGAAGTAGCACCTAAGTAGATTTCAAATGCATTAAGACTACATTCTTGCAGGTGTCAGTTTCCAATGCAATATTTACAAGAAGAAGAAGAAGAAGAAGAAGAAGATGTCATTCAAGGGTTTGGTCAAACAGCCTCTCTTCCCAACTCCCCAAACACAGTATGTTACAGACACAGGAGCCTGCAGATCCAAAAGTGGTGGTCAGAAGGGTCAAGTCCAAAGGCCTCTCCTCTCTTGGCCAATACGTCAAACACATCAAGGACTCTAGAACCCAAGCGTGGGGCCATTGAAGGAACCACCCAGTGTTGGCTTGGAACGGAAGCCAGAAAGCACAGCAAAGAGGCGGTACTAGGACTCGGGCAGAGGGGATGGGGTTTCCTCCACAGTCCACAGTGAAGGCAAGCCATGCCTGTCATAAAGAAACCGAGCTTAAAGTTCCCTACCCACTCTGATCGCTTGAAAAAGACCTCACCTTTCCCTACTGCTAGTCTACTGCTGCTCTCTTATTCCTTCCTCCTCTCTCTCTCTCTCTCTCTCTCTCTCTCTTTCTCACTCACTGGTTGTTCTTCTATATAAGGAACCTGGTGTTGGCTTGTGTTGTCTGGTTTAGACCGGGCTGGTGGAGGTATGTGCGATTAGCTAGCAGAAGGAAAAGAAAGGTTTCTCAGCAGCTAACCTTCAGTGCGATGGATTTGGTTGCAGGACATGATGAACAGGCCCCACATTCCAGCGTTTGGGAGCTGGGACTACTGTGATGACCTTCCCATCACGCAGTACTTCGAGTCGGCAATGCAGGCTGGTTTAGTTCGAGGCCGACCTTTCGGCGAGGATGCTGATTTCTTGAAGGTGACAGCGGACACAGTGAAACCCACTCACCACCACCACCACCACCACCACCAGAGAAAGGTTTTGAATCTGCTTCCTGGTACCCGAGTTCTCCATCTCTTTGCACTGATTCTGGCTCATCAGGTGAAAAAGCCTGGAGAGAGGCAGTACCAGCAGGGGCAGCAGAGAAAGCAAGGGAAGGCGAGCGATGTGACAGCACAGGCCACGCCCAGGAGGCCCAGAGCTGCCAAGGCGGTGGATGAGGACCTGTACAAGATCCCGCCCGAGCTCCTCTACCAGAAGCCCAAGAGGGTACTCTTCTCGCGCTTCAACTCTCATGCTGAGGGGTAGCAGTGACGCAGTAGAAGATTAATCTGAATGTTTTTGTGACATCCGAGTGCAGAAGAGGCTGCTGAAGGGCTTGTGGTCGGGCTGCCTGGGACTCCACTGCACTGCGTGAGGGGGGAAGAAGAAGAAGAAGAAGAAGAAGAAGAAGAAGGTGGAGGAGCAACGAAGTGAGGTGTAGCGTTTGCGTCGTGCTTGCCGTTGGTTTTTGGTACACTGTAGAAATCAGTGGAGGAGAAAGATAAATAGTTACAAGAGCGAATTACCTACTTTACTATATGAATACGGTGTTTGAGAATCGAATGGTTTCTTCTCATTAAGATATGTTGAAGCCTGTGATGTGTTCTCGTTGCATCTTTACTTGGATCATACAACGAACTGCTCAAAAATAGCCTCATCGGTGAAGTGTCGTCCGATGGCATCAAGATCTCACGAGCATTGAGTGCGGCAAGCAACAAAAAAACACAAAAGGACGAGTTGGCTGTGGGAGTCACTTCGCAGTGTCTCCCAAAGGCTATGATGTGCCATGATATGATGAGTCCTTCCTTCCCTTTTACCCACCATCCTTTTCCTTCAAGTTACATGCTCTAAATTTCTGGGCCTATCCCTCTCCATCATTATAAATGATGAACCCAGGTTTCTATCAAGTAAATCAAAATATACAGTGTGATGGAGATCTCTCCACCTCAGCTACAAGAATCCAGTCACGTCAATGACCAAGCCCCACCCTTCCTATTGGAATGCCACTGTGTTGTCCCATAACCTCTAAAGATGGTCTAAATTTTTTGAGGGATTTTTCTGGTAAGGAGTATTGATGGGGCTATGCTTGCCTTGGACACAATGGATGCTTCTTTTTAAAGCTGGGACAAGGAATTAAAATTGTGTGTTCCAAGTATGTATACCTTGATCCAATACATATACCATTTATTCTTATTATTTAATAATATTAGACTAAATCTGAAACAGAAGAATTCCATTCAGAATCCCATCCGACCATAAATACCTAGTGGGGAAAGTAGTTGTCAGTGCTTTTGCTGTAGCATGGCTCAAGTTTTTCTCCATTTAGATGATGAGACCAATACCGAAATTTGAGATCTAACAATTTGGGATGTACAGCTTTAGCCACAGAGGATCAAATAGGCTGTTTCCACTAAAAGATCTGCACCAGAAAACACACAAACCACATTTAGAAGTAACCTGGTTGAAATGAAGACTGATATATATATATTTATCTTCAGTTAGGATCATGTTTAAATCCAATTAGAGAGTATGTTGTGAAGCTGCTTCCCTCAGGATTCCACTATGTAAGATATCTACTGGTGCTCTCAAGAATCCGACAAGTGCTCATTACAAACAACTATAATTTTAACACCTTTGCTATCTATTTCAGTGTCGAGAAAATTTAAGAAAAAAAGTAGGTATTGGATTTGAAAAGGGAAAAAGAAAACTCAAAAGCTAGCTTTTTGCCTCATCCATTTTGTGGCTGACCACTTCTCTCCCCTCAGAACCGCGCATCCTCCATGAAGACTATTTGGATCTGTTTCCCCATCAAGCCCCTGAAAGGATGATAACCAGGATTTAAATAAGATTATGGTTTAGCTTGAAACAAAGCAGAAGGAGGTCACTTTTGACGAAAACTAAATTTCCTCAAGCACATTGATAGCATTGAAAAAGGATGAGACTGCAGACCATGCTCCAGAAAAGAACTGCATCCCCTTTATTTGGTTTCACGCAAAGCCCCTTAACCACCTTTCCGCCACAACTGCACTCACCAGATCCAGCCTGAGTAAGAAAATAATAGAAAGATTAGCAGACCGAGGCATGAGAAAATTTAAACAAATAATAACTACAGACTTCCAAAATATAGATCTGAATGTATACAGTTCGTGACAATGATGCATGGATGAACACACAAGATTTGATCGGAACATGTATCCAAATGTTGGAATTAGCAAGGAAGCAAGGAGTTATGAAGGACAAGACTAAGTTAGATCTTGTGAAATACTGGATTTCAATGTTTCTTCGTATTTTTCCTTCCTTTTTTTTTCTTTTGAGATAATATTGCTCTGACAAACTGAAGTTGTCATCCCCTTCCACCTCTTCCATGTCTATTTGTGATTCTCAGTTCACTACTTGGCTTAAGCTACAATCAACAGAAAAAGTTTACTTTGGCAATGACCAACTGGCCTTGTATGTTCAAGGAATTCCCCTCTCATATAAGCTTTCCTCAATTAAGAGTATGGCACTATTTAACAACGTCATTCTTGACGTATAACAGATAAAAACTTGACTTACGTAGCTATCACAAAGAATATAAGCAAACAACTTATTCTAATGCAAAGATTAATGATTCAAGAGAGATCTATATCAACTAGATACAGGTGACAATTGATTTCTTACATTATTTAGGTTCAAAAATTTAACATATAATATAACACCCCAGTTTAGCCCCACCTCTGAAGTGAGATAATACTTAAATTAACTTATAAGAGGTTGATGGGCATACTATTGTTGATCTTAGTTTTGAGCTAGTGATTCATGCTCAATGAAGTTAACATGTCAATTATTCCATCAAGCCAAATCGTGACAATTGATATCAGAATTAATCTATTACTGAGAAATGGAGAGAAGCAAGAGTAGGAAAGAATTACCCATAGATGAGGTTGGACGATGCATCATAGTGTGGAGTTATCACTGGGTTACGTCTCATATGCACCATGTGCATCATGCTAGGGTTTAATTATGAGCTATATTGGGTCTCAACAATGATGTCAAGCCGTTAAGTATGAGAGATTGTAACATCCCGATTTAGTCGCATATCGGAAGTGACCAAAAGACTAAGATTAGGTATGATGGGTGTACTACTGCTAACTTGGACTTAAGCATTTTGAACTAGTGGTTCAAGCTCAACTAAGTTACTAAGCTAGTTAACTCATTAGCCGGAGTCGTAATTATTAGTATCAGAGTCGATCTAGTATTGACGCATGGTAAGAGGCACGTGTAGCAAAAGGCTACCTCACATGCTCCATGCTAGGATTTGATTCTGGGCTATGTTAAACGATATAGAGTCACTAGGCTATACCTCACATCCACCATGTTAGGGTCTGATTAGCCTTGACAAGGATGTCAAGCCCTTAAGTGGGAAGATTGTAACAACCCAACTACGTTCAACATCGAAAGTGAGGTGAGACTAGACTGACTTATAAGAGGTTGATGAGTGTACTATTGTTTGTTAACTAGGGTTCAACTATTTTAGGTTAGTGGTTCAGGACTAACAAAGTTAATAGGATCAGTTATCCTATAATTTTGGATCATAATATTCATGTTCTTAATAAATTTTTTTAAATTATTTAAGGGTGACACGCCATTTGAAGGAACAAAACGAATTTTTAAATTTCACCTTAATGGCATCATTTCACCTAATATTATAATCAACTTTAAGAAAGAAACTCAAAATCAAGAATTCACAAAATACACTAACCATTGGAAAGTATGTTTCACCTCCTTCAACATCATCACTTAAATACATGAGCATTGTTGCTACACGTTGGCCTCCACGCTTTAAGTTAAACTGCATTCAGCAATTGACGATGCTCCTGTGATGCTCCAACAAAGGATCAACATGTACGTGAAAAAGAAAGAAATCTTACAGTGTCAGAAAAGTAATCATGATGAGGTCTGTAAAGCTGACTTGTTTCATACCTATGAAAAACCAAACATTTGCAATATCAGTAGGATGTTTAATACTTATATTTCTAGTCTTTGGGAAGAATACTTTAAATTACTACCTAAGTACTTGAATGAGCTCTCCATTTTCTGCAGGAACTTGAGAGAATACAGCAATCCGCTTTTCAATGGCCTGTGTTGGTACGAAAAAGATAACACTTTAGAAGAATGGGTTTGTTGGGTTGTGGGTTGAATTCCTTGAACTGAAAGTGATAGGCAAGTGACCATCCAATGAGATTGTCAGGTTGTAGGTTGATTCAATTAAATACAACACACAACTGTCTAAACTTTTACATCTGACAAAAAATTGAACACAAGTGAAAGCATGAGAAACTATGCATCAAGTGGTTGACAGTATTTATACAGTCAAAGTTTGACATTAAACACACTTCTGCAAATCATCATCAAAGGTGTTTAGGAAATTCCAAGAACAACTCCTAGGTCCTTCTAACAAATCTCAGAACCAGAAAATGTTTCCGGAAACTGATAAGAAAGTCTATCTTCCAAAAATTGAGGAATTCATGGGTAGAAAATGTGAGGTTCTAATTTGATGTTGGTCTATGCCAATCTATAGTTGACCATATCTCACATACGTCAGCAGTAACTTAAGGACTAAAAAGACAAGTTATACCGAATCAAAACAAATTCTTGAAATTATAGTAGTATATGCCATTGTCTTTTTCTTACCTTTGCTAATTTTATTTTCGGTATGAACGAACTAATTCTTGAAGCTGAGAATGTCCACATGAAGATAAAAATGATAATGTCTTAGGCCTAGAAAACAAAATTTGCTAAAAAGCAATTTTGGGAAAACAGAGAGACTAGAGGTCAAGTGGCAGACTGAAGTGACCATTGCAATCAAATCACACAGCAGGCCGAGAATCATGATCATACAAAAAGTGGCTTTGTCAAAGCAGGTTATGGAGCCAAGTTAATGCCATGGCACTCTACAGGCATGGAATGGAGCAATATGTCAAATCGACATGTTTCCTATTCATCTTTGGCATAGCCGTGCAACTGGTGCATGACACATGCTGCCATGACATGGTACATGAGCTGCCACATGTGCTGATCAGTGCATGGAAATACCCCTTTTTAATGAAACAAATGAAACCTCACTAAATAGTCCATGATGATCAATTAGAAATGTTAATTGCATACAAAGAGTTGTAGGCTTTAACAAAGGAGACAATTATCTTAAAAACTGTTTCAAAAAGTAACATACAAATAAAATCAGAAACCAACCTCTATAATTGGATACTTCCTTTCTTCTGAACTTAGAAACATACCAGAACTGGTTCGAACATCACTTTTCATACCCTGGGGGAAATAAGAATAGATAGAAAGGTAAGTAACAACCTCAGAAAACAGATATATAGGAGAATATGCATAGTTTACAGGTTTTGGCTAACCCCGCAAGAAGCAAATATATCACCTGCTAATTTGTCAGAAAACTGTTCTATAAAATACTATTTACAAAATGTCATCTAGCGGTCCACTTCCAGGAAGTAATTGTCATTCTCAGAAATTTACTTTGTTGTCTTGAAGATAGTTTCCAGAAATACATCCAAATTGTATGTTCATTATTTGAAATTTGAAAATACTTCTGTTATAATACATTTTTATCCAAGTCAGCAAGTTCAGTTCATTCTCGAACTGAAATGCTATGAGGTAGACAATAAATGTAAATTTTCAAAGACATATCAAACTTTTAATTTTATTTTGTCGATGTGGCTTATCTGCATAGAGAAACAAGAAGCAGATGAAAGAGATATATCTACAGTTTGTCACAAAAAAGTTTCAAGTCGTCAAAGTCATCTGCAGACGAAAAAAATCAGTTTCAGGTCATCACAAGTCCTTTGCAGATGAAAAAATTAATCTTGAAGCTAAGCTTGTTCAGGTAACCAAATATGATAATTTTCAAACATTTCTATATACAAGAAGACTAATGTAAAAATCTTATGGTAGCTTACTGTTGTCAAAGATGACAAATGTTTAAAGAAAACATTTTTATTGTGTCAGCTCAAAGGAATTAACGGATATATTGCATGCTCCTGGGGAATTGACATCAACAGACTAACAATTGACCCAAGTCAGAATAACTAGGACATAAACACAGAGGTCCGCACAAATATTTAATTTTAAGAAATAAATTTAAAATAAAAAAACATTTCTTAGCATGCACGTCTTAGTCTTGTATAGCTCAATACCTCCAACCAACCTTTGACCAGAATATATTCTTGATAAAAAATCATACACAAAATTGTTTTCTTTTAACAGACCATATGTGACCAACATTCATCCAAGTCAATCCAACATGTCATGCCCATCATAATTCTTTAAGCAATGTATCTTAAAGTATTAATCAGTACCATGTATGAATACTAGCACACGAAACATTTTACTGTACTATTACTCAAGGACTATTGTACCACCCAAAACGGTATAGTAGGAGTGGTACGTACCAGTCCGGGCATTGGCCAATACATGGACCACCCCCGTTTCGAGTGGTCCATGTAAAATAATAAAAAAATCAGAAAAGTGGTAGGCCCCTATCCAACTCAGCATTAAAAAAGAAAAAACAAATTATGGCTCACGAATGTAAGCCCTCTTCTCGCATACGCTGCAGCTGCCGCTTCCACTTCGCCGCTACTTCCTAGGTACATTGTTGCTGCTTTTCTCTTCCTCTTCCTCTTCTTCCTTCTTCCTTCCTCCCATTCCTCTTCACCCTCTTTTTCTTCTTCATCGAAACACCAGTACACACCTCCTCACCCTCATTTTCTTCCTCATCGAAACACCGGTACACACCGACATACCATGTGTTGATACAGGTATTGATTAGTACCCAAAATGACGAACCTTGCTTTTACTAGAACAAGACAACATAAACTACAAAGAAATAGACCAACAGGCTTTGTATCATACTTAATAGGATATTATGAGATTGACAACTTGCCTTCCCTGTTTTGATATCTACAACTGTAGAACTCCGAAGGCGTGGTTTAGCAATTGCTCTAAGATAATCACATTCCTGGATCATTAATAACCACTTAATTTTTATAAAAAAAATTTCAAGGCAATTTGATAAACATAAACAGTCACTGGGCAACAGATAAAATAAATAAGAAAACAAGTCTTATATCATATACTAGGAACATAATTGAGTAAACCAACCACTAAGAGCCATGCATAAGAAGCTAACAGATAAAGACAAGATACCTAGCAAGATATAGGTAGCATATAATTTTTAAGCAAACTGCAAAGTATTGCAAAAAATGTGTAGTCTTAAAGAGCTGAAGATAATATGAGCAGAAATATTCGGCTCAGTAAAGAAGGACAAGAAGGGAACTATGACAATTGACAACTAGGGACCAGATTATCTAACATCTCAAGAATATAACACATAAGCAGAATTAGTGTTTTACTCTAGAAATAAGATACATCCCTAAGAAATTTTCAGTTGCGTGGAAAGCCAATGGAAAATGGTTTTCCGTTGGGGAACTACTTCATGATTAAAATTAGTAGAAAAACAACGAGAACCAGGAAAAAAGAATTCCATTTAGAAAAAACTACTAGGTCCTTTACCATATTTTTCCAGAGTGAAAAAATAAAGTTATCCGTCTCTTCATTCCTTCTAGTTCTCCAGGCTAAATTTCCTGTTACCAAAAAGAGTTGTTCAAAAATATCGAGCTTTTTGGACCTACACCCTGTGTTACAGAAAACCTTGTGCACTTGGTCACTTCTTTAAGCTTTTTTATTAATTTTTTAACATTCCAAGTTATCTTAAATCAATAGTAATATTTCAGTATTTCACAACAATGTTATACAGATTGAAGAATGACCAATGGTCTGGAAAGGTCCATTAAATAAACAGGAATTCTTTTTTCAAAAATTTCCTTAATATGAAGTTTGATACTGATTGTGCAGCACATGCAGATTTTGACGTTATTTAGAACAAGGGAGTCATACCTAGCTCTAGCATAAAACGATAGTGCTATCAAAGTTCTGAAAATTATGGAATACCACAGAGAAGTCTCCACTTTCAGGAGTCTACCTTGACTTGAGGTAGATCTGAATATTCTTAACACAAGAATCAACTGTTCTTAGCCAATTTCCCCATGTCTCCAAAATTTGCCATGAAAAGAAACTTCAGATGGTACAAAATACAAACGACTATTATCTCTTCTAACAAAAGAGAACTAAATATTAGAGTAAAAGAAAGGAAATATCTACATCCACCAATCTTCCGGAAATTTGATGGATGGCATTTACACACTATATTAAGCTCCATAGATGAAGCTGTTGCTAAGTCTTATAATGGCTTTTAAAAATACTAAAAGCCTCAGATATAGATTCACTGTCCTAAGCAGGTCCTTCTGACAAAGGAATTTAGACTATAATTTCTCTGGATATGACTGGTTATCCATGAACAGCCTACCAAACAATTCCCAGTAAATATAGTAGTTAAAAATTCCGTCATTTGAGTTGAGTTGCTAAAAAAAGTGGACTTATAATCCTTCAAGTAGAAAATACCAAGACCTTGAATTTCTCTCTTTTTAAAGCATAATTTTGGTCATAAAACCAAGGTTTGTCATACCGTACCGTACCGGCGTTTCGACTCGGGCTCGGTACGGTACCGGTGTACTGGGCGGTACATCAAGGCATACCGAGCGGTACACCCTGGTGTACCGAATAATTTTATACTTTTTTCATACTGTAACAGTGTTACAGTATAGTACTGTAGTACTGTAGCGGTGTCGGGTGGTCCGCGTATCAGTAACCTGTCGGACCGGTACGTACCGCCCGGTACGGGCGGTATGCTTCGGTATGACAGACCTTGCATGAAACTACCATTCGATCTGCATGTCATAATGAAACAATAATCTTCCTGTAAAAGGAAAATGAGAAACTAATAGAGCACATTTGACAACATAGGTTGAAATAATTCTCCCCAAAAATTTGATTGATAAAGTAATTCTATGATTTTAGTGCATTGAAAAGCATTTAAGGTATACCAGACTACTAAGTTACACAAAACATATAATTGCAATTTTCATCAAAATTATTAATATTATATTTGCAATTTCTTTTCTATAATAGATAAACATTGTAATTTCTACCTATACTTGTATCTCATTTTAGCATAGGCATGTGCCAAACTCAGGTATGTATCTCAATATAATCCCTTAACCAGTTACATGCAACATTGATTGTGGGTTAGCTGAAAAGAGTAGTCCCGTCAACAATCAACTGTTTAAAGGTAGTGTAAAGTTGCCTGTGAATCAGTGCTTTTGTTGCAAAAAAATCCAGTTTTGCTCACATCTTGTCATCTTGGAAAATCTTGACTTAGGCCATAAGCTGTACCAAGAACTTAACAAACTGAGCATATAACCAACTTTCTCAATAAAAGAAAATTCGTTATTAATTAACTTGTCTCTTGAATAGTTATGAATCACATAACCATGTATCAAATTATATTCTCAGAAATGTAAAAGAAGATAAATAATGAAGCCAACCGAAAATTTGGTTTGTTCTGATTAGTGGACAAAAAGAGAAGAAAATAAACTAAAATGAAATTGATGTAAAAAGATATAAGAAACTTAAATTTTCCTCTGCCGTAGTTTAACTAAGATAATTCAAAGATAGTTGCAGCAGATGTGATTGGCAGTCAGATTATCCTCATTGGCTTCCCTCCATAACTTCTGCTGTTGTTGCTAAATAACTCTATATCACCTCACACCCAGTTTTTCTTTTCACAAGGACTCAGTAGCTTCTTATGTTCTTATTAATATCAACTTAACAAAAAAATGATTAAATTCATAAACACCCCAGTCCCTTCTATCTGAAGTCTTTAGAATAATGCAAAATCACCTAGTTTCCCATTTCTAATACGCAATGACAAAACAACTCCAGTACTAAAAGAACGTAAAAAAGTAATCAAAGAACAAAAACATTTGACAGAAAATAATATTACCTCCATGCTTAAGAAATTATGAAAAAGAATTACTCGTGGTGACCAGCTGAGGATTTCAGGTTTTACCTAAACAAGTCAAAATGGAACATTAATTCAAAACAACCTGAAAGTTCAGAAGATGATATGGTGATTACATTGTGAAATTAAGATTTGACTGTGCCAGTAGAAACTTTTTTTTCTTAACAAGAACAAATTCATTTTGGTCACAAATCATTAACTAATGAGAACAAGCTAGATTCCATACCTCACAGTTAGCAAATATCATATATAAGATGCTGCTGCTTCTTAGTCTAATTAAGTAGGCATACATTGGGAATACAAATTCTAAGCAACTATCTATATTTAAGGCTCCTATTTGTATGTTTCACGACCGAATAGGCAAATAGATCTTATATATTAATTAATATTTCTTATCACCGAAGATGACACTTTGCCAGAGCAAAAGTGTTCTGTAGTTTGGTGAATTTTGTGCATATTATAATTAGTTCAAGTCGAGTACAAAAATGTCATATCATGTTAACAACCTGCACATGCTCTTTGAAAAGGTATGAATTTTACAATGATAAGATATATATGCACCTTAACATTTTCAAATTGCATGTGTTTTAATTTCTTATAAGAACATAGGCATGCTCTACCCATGTGAAAGCAATTAAAAAAGGGGGCAAACAAGAGGATATCTAGCACCCAAATCGATCCTAAAAAAATCTGCATATGGTATTTAAGGGAAACAAGAACTACGCTCTACGAAATTTTTTTGTTTTTGTTTTTCCCATAACTGTGTTACAAGAGATTATATGAATAAACCAATTTATAAACAACAATTTATGCTGTTTTCCAGTTAAAAGCATCTAAAAGGCCACAAATAATATGATATCAACAAAAAAACCTTTAAATAACAAGAATACAATCAGTAAATAACAGCAGCAAAATTATCACTATGAAAGCAAAGTTGGAACGTACGAGTCCCAGGCGAAGGAGTGAAGCCTCCTTGTCATTTTCCCAATGAGAAGTACCTAGAATCAAAAGTTAATGCAAAAAATATATCTTAATGCATACCATTGAATGCTACAAACAAAAATAGCAAGGTCAAAATAATACTCCAAGCAAAAGAGTAGTTACAACTTACAACAAGTTTTACTATACAAATAACCATATGAAAATAGTGACTCCATACTGAGACACAGAATGCTATAACAATGAAAAAATGTTACACACTGATCTGCAAGAGTAAGCATCAACCATGATGATGGTGATTTTAAGAGTCAAAGCAGCTTTTAACTATGGTACTACTATTACATACGTTAAAAAAAAACCTATGGTATTACATGAAGTAACAGCATAGTGGTGGTACAACAATGGCAACAACAACAGCAACAATGATGAAGGCAACAACAAAAGTAAAGGAGCCTCATGACAAATATCCAGAATCAGACCTCAAGAAAAATTTACTTTAGCCAAGCTTGCCATGTGGCCCTCTATTTTAAATTAGTCCATCACTTGTCAGTGTAACAGTTAATCAGGTTGGAAATATGATACGAACTTATTAACTTTCTCTCATCTTACTCGCAAATGATGCAAGCTGTCTTAGATTACAATGAATAATCCCTTTCACCTTCAATTTTCTTATTGAAAAACTTATCAACCTTAATATCTGTACCTCAGCTGCACTATTTTTTTCAATATGTTGCATCCTAGAGGTAAAATCTTGCATGTTCAACATGTCCATCTTTGTGGTCTTATACAATTAGTAATAACATCTTATTCTTTTTCCTTGAGCAGGATCTCTTCCTTTTCTCCTTATTTTAAATAATTAAACATCCTTTCCTCCATCCACAAGGATTCACAACATAGAAATACAACACAAACAATGACCAGAAATAACTTTCCCGACCACTTCAAGTAAAAGAAAAATAAATGAATACTGGCTCAGGAAATCTTGTGCCACATTCCAGGACTCCGCCCGGTAGGCATTAAGTCATCGCCATACCTCATGGGCTATGATTTCAGAAGTAGGATTGAAGCCCAAGTCATGAGTCCATTCATCATGTGACCATAAGGTGGAAACACAAATAGTTATGCATGTGATACACCAGAAGCAGTGTGAGTGCATACAACAACAACCATAACAAAGATGTAATGCCCCATGTAAACAGTGTTAAGTGCATAACCAATACAATTCTAAGACATACCAAGTGCAAAACCTAACAAATACTATCTACTGTAAGTAACATCATGTTGTCAGCTAGAATTCCAATTACTACAAGATATCATTGGTCGAACTTAAAGCATGCCCTAGTCAGGTCAATGGTTCACCACCCAAGCGGATGACTACAAGCCCATAGTACACAATTGTTGGTTTACACTTTACAATGCCTTCCAATATGATTCAATACAGGCAGTATTTAATGGTTTGACAACCTGCCAGTATGTGAACCAGGGTAAACGTCAGGTACATGGCCTGTACCACCACCTGGTATGCCCAAGATAGGGCCTAACGACTGGTATAGGACCTATAGGCCCTGTACAAGGAAATTTCTTCGTTTTTTTTTTATCAACCCTTTTTAAGATTTTTTTTCAAGACTTGATACTTACTACGTTCCATGCTTGATATGCCGGAGCATCTACTTGTTAGAGAAATAGTAATACATTTAGAATCAAGAGGAACTTTGACCATAACAACAACTTTAAACAACCATGAACTAAAGATGATTTGAGAAATTTAAATCACAACTCATTCTAATTGAAGTTATACCAGATGGCTCTTCTAATCGCCAAATAAATGCCAACTGAAACAAAGAACCTGCAAGCATCAACAACAAACAAATCATGCAGTAAGAAGTTGAAAGAAACTGTTACACAAACCAGCATTTGAGGAATAAGACCATCTCATAAGTTCATTCTAAGACATTCCACCACTATTAAGCAAGAAAAAGACATGTTTGGTCCTCAGAGATTCCAGTATAATTTATGTATGCTGCTAGAAAATGAATCTTAAATTTCACACAACAGACGCAAGAAATGATTTGTGGTTACTTCTGTAAAGAGAAAATCATAGGAACTAAATATCAAGTTGTGCAGGCTTGTACAACAACGTTGCATCAGAGGTATGCTTTGCTAGTGCTAGTAGATGACAATGCTTAACAAGCATATAGACCATTCTTTCGATGGCTATTTGGGATATAATGCATCCCATTAATGCCACATTGCTCCAAAGTGTGAGCTATTAGCAAATATAATTTTAAACAACTTGAAATACCTAAAGAAACAAAGATGTCAATATCTTGATCGGTGTCAATGTAGAATAAATGGGATGCTTTACTAGTGTTCAACCAAAAAAACAGTGATAACCTGAAATAATAATGCATACATAAGAACCTTTTTTTTTAAGTAAACACTATAGAACATTGAGAACTAACATCTTAACATGTAAATGCTTTTTTCTACAGTTAAGACAACCTAGATGCTTGAGATGTATGCCAATATGCCTTTCATAGTTTTTCCAAAGACATTGCTTCAAAAAATAATCATGCAAAACACTGTACCGCACACCCATACTTCTGCTTTAGAACTTCAAGCTTCTAACCGAAGGAGATGAACTAAATGGCAGATATCAAATCCTATTAACTGGAAACATGGCCAAGGCTTTCCAATGTCCTCCAAGTAGTGGAACTATTACCCTACTCTTTTCTGCTATCTCCTGTCACGGTTTCACCTTTCTAGAAAACATGCCTCTCCTTGTTATAGGGGTAGGATCAGACGCCCAAAGATAATATTTCAACCCATTGACTCAGGACAAAAGAGAGGATATCCTCGGATAGTTCTCATGAAACTACAGTCTTCGCCAATTTGACAATCCAGCCAAAGTGTGAGAATCTCAACCTCATGGCTAATTTGACTGTCACTGAAAACCTCAAGTTGATGATATGATTATCAAGATTTAACAAATACATCTGACCAGATGCTTCCCGTTTCTATCTCCACTACTCATATGGCAGTAATAGGAGTTACCCTATCAGTCGTCGAGTTAAAAGATTTAGCAGCTTTCCATAACAAGATCCCTTGGTCATCATCAAGATACAGGACGTCGCCATCTGCGACACTCGTTGCACGGCTTTCCCACGAGTTTGGATTTCCCGCTCACATACGGGCGGTACAGCGTAAAGACCAATAACCAATGGTGTTTTGGCGCAACCTAATTATGGCGATGCCCTAATTTGCAGTCAAGAATATACCATCTCTCGTCTTCTGCATATTCTCACTATAACACCCTAAAGTACATAGCGAAGCTCGCAAACTATTTCACTCGGATCGCGATCCGAAGAATCAACGCCAAAGAAACCAAGATATTCAACAAGATAGCATCAAATCGAGGGCAAAAACCTAAGGCCACCGAGGAAGGGGGAAATGATACGAACCTATGATCATCCCGATGGTGATGAAGGTGAGAAGCGCAAGGATGTACTTGGATTGAGCCATCATCCCACCCAACCACCGGGAGATCACCTCCAACTCCTCGCGATGTATCCTTCCCCGTTCAATTTCCCCTTCTTTCCCCGTTTATTGCGTTCTGGAAGCGAGACCGGAAGGAAGAACGGGGAACGCACTTGAAATGGGAATTGGGTATGGAGTGGTGGGAAGGTAACGCCGAGCGGGGCGGAAGCCCTTCCGACGGATCCTTCTGCTCGTTGCATTCGGATCCGATAAAAGAAGAATAGTCCATTAAGGCGGTCAATGCGCCCGAATCCGATGTTCTTGAAACCAATCCAAATATATCTTACATTAACGAATATAGTGGGACCCATTACCAATGCTGGTAATACATTGGGTACATCTTAAAACTTATAACAAATGCGCCGGATCCGATAGGAAAGCCACTCGAATCCGAAGATTCATTCAGGTAGACTTTTCGCACCCCATTTTTAATGTACCACTTTAACCCATCCTCATTGTTACGGAATAATATAGCGGGCCCCGAGACCGGTAGACTATTGGGTATAAATAAAACTAATAACATTGCGCCGGATCCGAAATGGTAGCAACCCGAGTCCGAAGATTCCATGGAGAGACTTCTCGCTCTCGATTGCTTGATACCAGTCATCTACCCGCGTTGCTATTGGCTAAAAGGCCGGTAGAGTTTTGGGTATCGACGAAAATTTAAACGACACAAAGCTGTTTGGCCACAATTGCTTGATTGTTTAACTTACTTAATGAAAGCCCAAATCGACATTAAGCTAATATGATAATTCCTATATAGTTTCTCAATCATAAAAAGTCATATATTGAATCACTAATTATTCCGTTTAGAAAGAGAAGAATCGGTGATATAGTTATTTATAATAATAATAATAGTTATAATATAAGAATCAATATTTTAATTGTAGTTCTAAATGGCCGATAAATAGGATCGATACTGATTGACGTCCATCATTTTTAATGACTTGACGTATATAATAGTACAACGATGAATCAAAAGCTTTGTAGGAAAATATGGCCTTCACGATCATATTAATCTTCGTTTAGAAGAATCATGACATATATGTGTGTCATTATCAACGCGTTTTATGGTGTCGTGATTAGTTTAATTCATACGCATGCATGTATGACATGACTCATTATGGGTTTATTGGATCAGTGATTCTTTGCGGAAATGAATTATGGTGTGATCAAAAGAGATGAATGATACCATATACTTGTCACAATTTCATATTGACAAGGGAATATATCCAACTGACTAGGAATGATTCTATATAGTCGGATTTTTAGATCAATCACGTAAAACTTAATTATTTAGAATTATTAAACCATCATAAACTAAAATAAAAAAATTAAAAAAAATTATTATTTCAGAAATAATATGTAACCTCCGATTAGTCTCACATCGAAAATAGACAAGATTAAGATTGACTTATAAAGATTTAATGAGTATATTATATTAATTTTAGCTTAAATATTTTGATTATTAATTTAGATCAAATAAAATTGATAGACTAATTAGCTCATCCAGTTATGAGTGTTTATGTTGAAAGATTTGTTCTTGCAATATAATAAGTTTTAAGAACTAGACTATCATGGTTCAACTCGATAATATCGATCGATGACTAATTCTTACCCTAACAAGCATACATATTTAGATTATGGAAAGTAGTAAGATAAAATATCACATATTGCTCACATAATCAACTTTATTATTATTATTATTATTATAGTGCTAATCTAAGAGTATACAATTTGCATTTAACTTGCCCGATCAAATTCCTCTCTCTCTCTCTCTCTCACACACACAAACAAATGTCTTGAGGCTGCAGGCTGTCTCAACATTGTCTCTCAAACCTCCACAACAGGTCGGCACTTCACACCTGAGACACAAATTAACATATGTAGTTACATACTCTTAATTACTATATAAAATACAATAATGGTTTTATATATAGTGCTAAGAAATAAAATATTATCAGATTGGCTTCACTTCGAAAATTTTCAGACAAAAGAGTAGAATTTTGAAGGTGAATACTAAGATCATTCCGACTCACGAAAATAACCTCTCTAATAATATAAATAATAATATATACTCCCATCTGGTGAAAGTCTATGAGATATTAATCATCCATTATTTCTTCAATGGTTTATGTGAAAATAAAGTAATATAACAAACGAATAACAAAGATGATTAGAGTCTTAAAATATAATATGTATAGGAGAGAATTATCTGAAACTAAAGAAACAACACACAACAAATCAATAGATGCATTGATGTGTCTATAATGTTGCTGATAACAGATGATGAACCTGCAACAAGTTGAAACGTACATTAACTTTGCTGGTAGAGACGAAGACAAAGGAGGGCATCTACTGAGAAGAAGAGAGGTAGAAGACGAATCAACAGTCTTTCTTTCTCCCCTCCTTTCCCTTTCTCCTTCTGTTTTGAGGTGGGACGGGAGCAGCTTCGTCACCTGAGATTTCGAACTCGGTACCAGCCCTTCTTGCAGGAGGAGCCGACCACCTCCATCCCTTTCTTGAGCAGGTCCTTGAGGTGCTTCTGCAGATCCGCCATTGATGGAGCAAGAAGGAGGTCACTGCACTGGGGGCTGAGAGGAGAGGGAGGGGAGGCGGACAACGGAGGAGCTGACGGGCGCCATTAAAGCGTCGGACTCCTCGGTGGTGCCGTTGTGGACGAGCGGCTCGTGTTGAGGGCGACGGATGGGGAAACTTCCCGCGTTCATTACGCATGCAGGCCACTCGCTCTCTGTTTCTTCATGCACCTTTTTTTTTCTTTTTCTTATTGTGAATATATTATATATATATACATACTCTCTCTATGTAAAATTAGTGAATTTATATTTAAATCCTCTAAGTTTGAGTTTAGCACATAATATATATTAGTTATGAAAGTGAACTATTATTTAAAATTTTAATTATTTTAATGATATTTAAAAAATCATGATATCGAAAATATCAGGACTTTTTAAGTAATATCATATCGATAAGAAAATAATAACATGATCGACACTTCAGCATTATGTGATCGACATTTTATTATTATGTAGTCGACACATCGACACCACGTGATCGAATTATCAATACTTTGTTACCGTGTAGTTGACATCTTAACACCACATGGTCGATGTTTTAAAGTCGGATTGTTGACGTCTCAATGTTATGTGATCGACACCTTAATGTTATGTGATCGACCGATACCTCAAGGACATTAGGAACCGTATTTTCTCGACATTAATGCAGATTTACAAGTGTAACAATCCAAAAGTAACACTATAAAAGGCCTTCAAGTATATTCTCAAGAGGGTTCTTATCTCTCTGCTAAATTACACATTTTGTATTTGACACTTGATTGAATTTTCCAAATCTCTTACTAATTTAAGCATCGGAGGGGCCTTGTCGAGTATATCTCCGATGTTTTTTTTTTATTATTATAGAATTTCTTATTGAACCAACTCATCTCCCGGTATCAAGTTTATGATAAACGTAGACTTAAACCAAGATTGACTCTGATAATCGAATTATGTTATAACAAAATGACACTAGAATGAGGGTTCAATAAAAGAATGTTACAAACTCCCTGAGCACAAGAGTTACTATTGAGGTTTATTAGCAACATAAAAGGTTGCAACAACTGAACCCTTGAAGAGATGGTTCCCCAAAGAGATGACTTCTAACACAAACATGGCTGAACATATAAAGAGATAGCTCCTAACACCAATATGATTGAACATTCTTAAAAGGTATTTTATAACATCTAACATGGTAGAATCATCCTTGAAGAGGTGGTTCTCAGCATTAACATAATTGAGCCCTCAAAGAGGTGTTCCTCGATACCAGCATAGCTGAATCTTTCTAAGAAGTGATTCTCCAAAGTGGTGACTTTTGATATAAATATTTAACTCTCGAACATGTATTTCTTGACAATAACATGGCTAAACCCTTCCTTGAAGAGGTGGTTCTCAGCATTAACATAATTGAGCCCTCAAAGAGGTGTTCCTCGATACCAGCATAGCTGAATCTTTCTAAGAAGTGATTCTCCAAAGTGGTGACTTTTGATATAAATATTTAACTCTCGAACATGTATTTCTTGACAATAACATGGCTAAACCCTCAAAGAGGTTTTATACTTAAGACCAACATCGCTAAACCCCCAAAGCGGTGGTTCCCCCATATAGAGGTGGCTTCCGACACCAATATGGTCAAACCTCGAAAAATATGATTCTTGATACTAATATGGTCAAACCCCCATGAAGATATGACTCCCAACACAAATATGACTAAATCCTCGAAGATGTGATTTCTAATATCAACATGGTTGAAACCTTCAAAGAGGTGGTTCCCGATCAAACCCCTGAAAAAGTAGATCCTAATACCAACATGAATGAACCCCAAAGAGATGACTCTTGATAATAATATAGTTGAACCACTTGAGGAGACAATTCCTAACACTGACGAGATTAAATTCAACTAAACATCATCCCTTAATGATGCAGCCAACTTGATCCAAAAGTATCTCCTAATAGCGATGCAAACTAAATCAATCTAGAATCATCTCTCAGGATACAACTAAATTGGCATAAAAAAAATCGCCCCTATGATCAAATTGGCCTAAATCATTCATTCCAACAATAGTGTAGTTAAATCAGTTCAAAGTGCTTCTTACGATGATAGTGTGATCAAATTAGCCTAAAGCACTCGTTTCGTTGATAACGTGACCTAATCAACCCAAATTGCTCTCTTCAATGATAGCACCACTAAAATGATTCAAAATGCTCCCTTTGATGATAACGTGATCAAAATAACCTAAATTACTCCCTTCGATAATAGTACAACTGAAAGGGTCCAAAGTGCTCTCGTCGATGATAATGTAGTTGAAACAACTTGAAGTGCTTCCTTCAATGATAACATGATCTTCACAGCCCCAAGCACTCCCTTTGATAATAGCGTATCCGACACGGTCTAAAATACTCCATTCGATGATGATGCATCCAACATGGCCCAAAGTGCTCTCTTTAATGATAGTACAATTGACACAACCTAAAGTACTCCCTTCGACGACAATTCGAAGTGCTCCATTTGACAATGACCCAAAGCGCTCCTTATGATAGCACATTTAAAATAATTCAAATCACTTCCTTCAATGATGTTATGGTCAACGCGATCCAAAGCACTCGTTTCGATGACAACACAATCAAAATGACCCAAAACACTATCTACAATGGCAATACAAAAGAAACAACCCAAAGCCCTAACTTCAACAATGGACCGACAACTACATCGTTTACGTGGGAGTCAACAGTTTTATTTAGAATCACATAATGTCCCGACTCTATTACGCTCATCAAGGCATAGTGGTTTGTCTTAGCGTCGATGAGCGTAGTAGAGTCGGTACATAATGTAATTCTTAATAAAACTATTATTTCCCATGTAATCGGGGTAGTTGCCTATTCATTGTCGAAGCTAGGGCTTTGGGTTATCTTAGCATAACCTCGATGCCACAATATCTTAGCATCGAATTATTGATATCTTAATACACCTGAACAATAAATTCCACATGATTGACGCCTCAGTGTAGCATGATAGACACCTACGCGTCTGATAACTGATACCTTAGGACGTTGCTAATCTCATCACATATGCTACATGTCTTGTAGATTCAGCAAGTATAATTCGGCGTGAGCCTGAAGATGCTCGTAACCATCCCTAACAACAATGTACATCTAATGATCCAAAAAATATATATCGTGCTCTTAATGAGACTCTCCCAAGTATTTATTAAAAATTAAAAAAAGAGAAATAAGCACGATAATACGCATGCTGTAAAAAAGTGTGTCTCAGAACTAAAAAAGGAAATAAAACGGGGAAGCATGCGAGCCGCGTAATTGGATGAAGAAAGGGGAGAACGGAGAGAGAGAGAGAGAATGGGATGGAATCTAGGGTTCTATCTTCCATCCTCAACCTCGAGATCTCCTAATCCTCCTCTTTCTTCTATCCATAACGCATCTACGTCTGCTTCTTCTTCTTCCTTCTTCGAATAGAAAAAGCTTTCATGGGAATCTAGATTCCTCTGCAGTGATCTTTCATCCAAGGTGTCCTTTGTTATCATCCCTGTCCAGTAGTTATCCTTCTTTATGTATACCGTTCATTCACACATCTGTTTCGTGATTGGTTGCTCTCCCCCTGTTTGCTGATCTTGATTCCTCCAAAAAGTGGAGCTTTTGTTCCAGGAATTCCACGGAATCTGTCCGTGCTGCAATAAGGATCAAGAAAAGGAAGAAACTTAGAAGAGAAGAAGAGGGTTCGATCGATCGGATTAAAGGGCGTAAGAGAGAGAGAGAGAGAGAGGGGTGGGGTGGGTGGGGGAGCGTGTTTTGATTTGGGGTTTCGACGGATCCGCCAAGTTTAATCGTCTGGTTCAGCTGCCTGGCGGCTCTGGAGTGCATACTAGACGTGATCAGGGCCCTCCCAATGGGTTCCTGCCTGTCGCCGGAAGGACGGAACGGCGGCTCCAGCTCGTCGCCCCCCGCGTCGCCGGCGTCAGGGGCCAGGCGGCGCCGGAGAAGCCTGAGGAGGCAGATGAGTGGCTTGCCGGAGGAGCAGCTCCATCGGATCCCCGGGAGGATGTTCCTCAACGGCGCCAGCAGCGCCGCCTCGCTCTTCTCCCGGCAGGGCAAGAAAGGCATCAACCAGGATGCCATGATCGTTTGGGAGGTTCGTCAGATTCTTGGTGGTGGTGGTGTTTGGTGTAATGATTCCATGCTTAGATTCGACATTTGGGCTTTCATCATCTTGTTGCCTTCCTTTTCTTTTCCAGCTAATGGTTTGCTTGATGTTTGTGATACCAGAGTAGACATTGATTTGTGTGCCATGTTATGCCTTCTACTGGATCTAGTGGTAGTTCTTCTTGTCTGTGTTTACAGTCCAGTTGCATTGTAGAAATTAATCTCATGTTCCAGGAGCAGAAAATCCAGTGGCTTGTTTATTACCTACCTGTCTTTTTGCTCATTGATCTCATCATTCTTCATCTCCTGAATGTCGAATTCTCTAATTAGTAACAAAATTGGAATCATTTTACTCTTTTAAGTCTCAGGTTTTGATTCTTCCAGTTACCATGTGTCTTGAATTTTATGAAATTTCCTTTTTACTTTTGTTCTTGTTTCGGATCGATATCAATTCTGTATACAAAGTTTTGCTCTTCAAACTATATGCTTGTTGTATTATTTAGTAGGAAACCAATGACTTCCATTTATCAGCATAGAGATTCGAATTCAAGTGCTTCTGTTTGAAATTAATCATCATCTGAATCTGTGCATTATAGCTTATTGTTTTCTCTACTGGTACCAATTTTTGCCATACTTTATATTTAGCATATGATATGTCAATGGCATTTTTTCTTCCTGCTATTGGTTGTTTTAGAAGTTATTTCCGGTTTGAACACTGTCATTTTAATGATCATCTTATGTTATCTGGACAATTATGCAGAATTTTGGCTGTAGAAGTGACACTGTTTTTTGTGGAGTTTTTGATGGTCATGGTCCAAATGGCCACATGGTGGCGAAAAAAGTAAGAGATATCCTCCCACTAAAGCTGCGTGCCAGATGGGAAGTAAATATAGGAGATGATGAATGTAAAGAGAACAATCTCAGTAAAAGCATGGATTCAGAGGAAACATCATCTGTGTGTCTCAATGAAGAATTCAGAGCTTCCATTGGCTTCAAGGATTTGATCAAGCGTTCGGAAATCATAGCAACACTGAGAGACCCATTCCTGAAGGCTTTTAGAAAAGTGGATAAGGAACTGAGACTGCATCCAGATATTGATTGCTTCTATAGTGGGACAACAGCTGTTACTTTGGTTAAGCAGGTTGATTATGAGCCATTAGTTTCCCATCTTGGTTTTTAATGAAATGACAAAATGTTCTGTTTAATTGGTTATTTAAAAATATATACAATTATGTATTGCTAAGTCGGGTTTTATTCATCTTAGGGTCAAGATCTTGTCATTGGAAATGTTGGAGACTCAAGAGCAGTTTTGGGGACTAGAGATCAAAATAACACCTTGGTTGCGGTGCAGTTGACCGTGGACCTTAAACCAAATCTTCCCAGTATGATTTTCCTCCTTTGTCACTTAATACTTTTTGAGTATGTAAGTTCATATTTTACATATTCGCACCGACATGTTCTTGCAGGTATGTTTTGTATACTTCAAATCATTTTTGCACAAATGTTAATGGATATGACTATTTTACCTTTTGGGTTGTTAAAATCCGCGAGAGATTTATCTCTATATACTTGTGATGGAGAATCTTCTGGTCATTTGAACTGGTTATTTCAACCATGGTAATGGTACTATAAATATCTTGTATGGTTAAATTGCTAACCTCCTTGGTACCATAGATGAAGGTAACTCAGTTGGCTCATATATGATTGATTTGCTAACTAGCGGTTTTTTTTAAGTGCTAAATTCTCGTTGATTTGAGAGACTTGGCAATTCTTTCAACATTGATTTAAGATATTTTGCTTGAGAGCAATGAGATACTAGATTGTTGTTCCTTTAATGTAGTTCTTTATAGTTATATCTGCAGCCACACAAATGGATCTGTTTCATAAGCCAACTGCTAAATATAATTGTAGAACAGATCTAGCCAATGGTCTTGCCATTTCTTTTTCTATTTAGATATTTTTCTATCATGAAAGCAACTTGTAGGTGGGTAGGGATTCCCGAAATATTTTTATTACTACTTTGCTACTTGTCTAATTTGTTCGAATGTTTTTTTTACCATGAAAATTTCTTTTACAGGGGAAGCAGAAAGAATTAGACGTTGCAGGGGCCGTGTTTTTGCTCTTCGTGATGAACCAGAGGTGGCTCGGTTATGGCTGCCTAATGCTAACTCTCCGGGCTTGGCAATGGCACGAGCTTTTGGGGATTTTTGTTTGAAGGATTTTGGTTTGATTTCTGTGCCTGAGATTTCATACAGACGCATCACAGAGAAAGATGAGTTTATAGTCTTGGCCACCGATGGGGTGAGATGAATTATGATTTTCCATTAGTATTAGCTGACAAAATTCCCTGAACTTATTGTCAGATTTTTTTCTTTTCTTTGCAGTTTACGAAATAACATGACTAGAATGCTTATGAAGCATTATCCTTACATGTTTGGTTGACTCGTCAGGTTTGGGATGTATTATCCAACAAAGAGGTGGTAGACATTGTTGCTATGGCTTCCACAAGGTCCTCTGCAGCTCGCTATGTTGTTGAATCAGCAGGCCGAGCCTGGAGGCTTAGATATCCGACCTCGAGGGTTGATGACTGCGCTGTGGTCTGCCTATTCCTTAATATAGATTCATCTGACAGTGTCTCCACTGCCAAGGCTATCGTTGGTGGGTCACCAGATGGCATTGGGGTTCTCAGCGATGAGCAAGAACCTCCACAGCCTACGTATTAGATCCAATCGAAAGCAAAATCTGAGCTGGAACAGAGAATCGACAAGATGAGGGGCAAGGAAGCTCCAAGAACTATGTCTAGATCCCAATCATATCGACAATTCATCAATGATGATGCCACCCAAACGTAAGGTGACAATTGCTGTGCTCTAGAGGGAGTTTCAAGTAAATATCCCATGATTGCCACCGAAATTTATCGCATGTCAGAATTAAGCATCCACCACCAAGATCTCTGCAGGCTAACTGAAATGTCTGCAGTTGGTGCTCCTATTCTTGTTGAGAAGAGTAGCCCGACTATATTTGAATGTGCAGGTGTTCTCTCTCTCTCTCTCTGAACTCTAAATATCAGTGTGTTGGATTGCATTTTTAGTACAATTCCAACCTTGTTATTGTGATCTGTTATAATCTTCATGTCCACTACTGTGTTGTCCTTCGAGGAACATATGCATGGGACTGTCGTTGATCTGTATTCAATCTTATTATGTCCAAGTATTATGTTTGTGTTGGTAATATATACTCCGATAGATTATGATGGATCATTCTGATAGGGAATTGCATTTTGTGAGGCCATTTGATTCGATACTCAGTCTGCACTTCCTTTCCTACTCATATTGGATTGTCCAAACACCATTTTGTGAGGCCATTTGATTCAATACACAGTCTGCACTAACTTTCCTACTCATATTGGATTGTCCAAACACATCGAGCTAACAAAAACGCTGTTCTTATGCGGTTGTTTGAGCCTAGTATTTAATTATTTGTCCTCCATTTCTTCCGACATTCCCATCAATTGTTATCAAGCTGAGCGGTTGTGGCGTGATAATTAACAACCATTTAATACCATATTCAAATTCGAATTTGAGGATTATAAGGCAGCTAAAGGATTCTTGTGGGGTGCGTAAATGTACGCAATGCCCGAGAATTCCATCAGATTTGAACCTCACTGATCTGATGATTCATGGTGGAATATCTTTGCGATACTCGATGCACTTACCCAGTCTATACTATAATATCGCAGACAAACATACACACACTTATCCAAATAGAATAACAGTTCCTATAAAGTGGTATTCAAAATGCCAGGCTTAGATTTCTCTCCCCGTGAGAAATACAGCATGCATGTTCTAATCATCAGGCTTATCAATTTCATATCACAAGAAAGAATGTCATTTTTAGTTCGATGTGATAGATTGACTATAATGTCCCAAAAGTTTGATCATAATTTACTATTTACTGCCAAGCAAACAAGTTACACCTAATCAAGCAATATTGCCAACAAAATTTTTTGCTACTGAAAATTCAGCACATCGATTTTTGCTAAGAACCAAATGTAAATGACATCATTAGCATTCTAAATTCTAAGCAATTGTCCTGACCCGAGAAGTGTATGTAAGCGTTTTCTGATGTATCTAATAACACAAAAAAAATCATTATATGTCACTGAGCATCCAAACTAGAAACATGAAGCCGTAATCATATCCAGCAAATTACACAGACACTAGAAAACAAGAGAGAAAAAGATGAGATTCATCTACATAATCACACAGTATCTCACCTGATACCTATTTGCTACATGAATCATCCTATAATTACCTTGAAAAGCAACATATGGAAATCTAAAGAACAATAAACAGGCGCCAGAAAGGTAAGATGGAGAAAATATACTTTGTTGGGTATCTTTATACCGTGGCCGAGGCCGAGGCCGAGGAGTCAACACGGTTTGATCCAATCCCGAGTGCGCAGAGTCGCCCACGTGGATGCTCGGGCAAAGGTGGGCGACATCAGGTTCGATCCGGGCTTCATCTCCATAATTGATCCGATGTCGAGCAAGGAGTTGCTCTTCCTCCCTCGTCGGGTTGCCGCTCTTTCCTTGCCAAGTTCATGCACACAGGTCGAAGTCATGAGGGGGATTTCTCGACTCGACCCCTCTGAAGTCTAAGCTAGTGTTGAGTGGTGTTCGGGGGAGTTTGAGTGTTCGAAGTTCTACCCCTGACGCTGGTCAGGAGGTTGACTCTTATACTTGTGAACGAAGGTCGATCGTACATGATCTGTTAATGGCTGCCAACTCCTCGGGCGGCCGGCTCGTACCATACATGCGAGCGCCGACCGACCTGCACGGAGCGACGCCGCACGACACCGTTCCGAGCTTTCCAGAGCGGCTTTGTACATTGCAGCACTGTCTTGTACGGCCTCGGATAGCACGAGAACAAGCGATCGTCCCATCCGAGTCCGAGGTGTCGCGTCGACACAGTTCCCCATATCAGCCCTGAGGCTCAGCGTTGGCACTGACGTGCTTGTTAACTGTTGCCACGGGGGTGGTACCAGAATATACCCTATCATACTTCACCAAGTAACATACTTGACAAGCATACATATGGTCAAGACCAACAATTATTAATTCTATATTTAAGTTTTTGGTTTATAACAAAGGTCTAAGCATTGATGCCATGGTAATGTTGCTACTTGGAACTTAGACATATGTGAACCATATTGTGCCATGTTTTGTTTATAACAAAGGTGACCAATGATTTCATTCTAAAAACAGTAGGGTCAAGTGGAACTCCTTGAAAATTGCTAAAACTCGAAATTGCACAAACTCATGAAATGGCAGGCTTACAGTATAATGGTTCACTCCTGGCATTCCCTTACTTGCTTGGACGCTCGGCATAGCCGTGAGTAGCCTTAAAGAGTTGCTTTGCAATGCCACAAATCATCAAACTGGAAAAAAGAGGTCCTGAAAGTCTTTGTAAAACAAATTAAAGTCCTGCACGAATCAAATGCAAATGTCCAAAGAACAATGACAAACAAAAATATGTCCCCAGATGAACACAAAAGTTTCTCATTAAACTATCAACGCAAAATGACGATCATTTTATTGATCAAAGGATCTATGTTCCCCGCCCTATCAACCACATTAAGAAAACCTGTTTCACATTATTTTAGATCAGGAAAAGGAATTAAATAGTCATTATGGCAGGACTACACAAACAAGTCAAATATATAGACCTTGCTACAAAGACCATCTAAGATAGCTAACTAAGATCTTCTTAATAACAGTCAAAAGTAATGATCAAACCTCCAAAATATCATCAAAAAAAAAAAAAGACACAGAATTCACAATATTTATTTTATCTTCCAAGTATGCCCGGATCCAAAGATAAAATTGCTCAAACACAACAAGAAAAAAGGTGAATACATTACAATAGCAAAAAAACCCTTCCTGTAATCGAAGGTTCATGGTTGCCATCACCAACAAGCCAAGTTCTACAATATTTGCTTTGTCAAAGTTCCTCAAATACAATGGAATGTACAGATCAAACAGTAACTTTCAACATATTATATATAAAGAGGTGTCCTTTGCTGATCCATGTTTTAACAGAATCCAATCGAGTAAAGCATAGCTAAAAATAAATGGTTAATGCAACTCACAGACCATAAAAATTAATGGATTATGAGAAGCAAGCAGTCTTCTTCTAGTTATTAGAGTAAAACCTCCATGACCATTCAGTCACAGATTAAGAGACATCAAGAGACGAGAACCACTAGGAAAAGAAAGGCAAGTTACATCATGACAGTCAAATAGAGATGCCCTTTAAACTGAA